TATTCTTTTAGAAAGACTTGAATATTTTGTTGGAATTAAAGGAACAGCACTAGACTGGTTTAAATCTTATCTATCTGATCGAATTCAGTTTGTTCATGTTAATGATAGATCTTCAACACGCTCAAAGGTTACCTGTGGAGTACCACAGGGATCAGTGCTAGGACCAATTCTCTTTACTTTATACATGCTCCCAATTGGTAGAATTATTAGACAGCATGGGATTAATTTCCACTGTTATGCTGATGATACCCAGCTATATCTGTCTATAAATCCAGATGAAGCTAACCCATTACATAGATTACAGGCATGTCTTGAAGACATAAAAACCTGGATGACTCTTAACTTTCTGCTTCTGAATGCAGACAAAACAGAAGTTATAGTCTTTGGACCAGAGTCTCTGAAAAAGAAACTGATTAGCCAGTCACTTCATTTGGATGGGATTAAACTGATTTCAGATAATAAAGTAAAAAATCTTGGTGTTATTTTTGATCAGGACCTGTCATTTAAATCCCATATCAAAGAGGTTTCTAGAATTTCCTTCTTTCATCTGAGGAACATTGCAAAAATTAGAAATATCCTGTCCAGGGGTGATGCTGAGAAACTAGTCCATGCATTTGTTACTTCAAGGCTGGACTATTGTAATTCTTTACTATCAGGAAGTCCACAAACTGTAGTTAAAAGCCTTCAGCTGATCCAAAATGCTGCAGCCAGAGTTCTAATGAAAATGAAAAAGAGAGATCATATCTCTCCTATCCTGGCTTCTCTTCATTGGCTTCCTGTTAAATCAAGAATAGAATTTAAAATCCTCCTTCTCACATATAAAGCCTTAAATGGCCAAGCTCCATCTTATATCAGAGATCTGATTGTTCCTTATGTTCCTAACAGAGCACTTCGCTCTCAATCTGCAGGTTTACTAGTGGTTCCTAGAATTTCTAAAAGTAGAATGGGAGGCAGATCTTTTAGTTATCAGGCTCCTCTCCTGTGGAACCAACTACCAGTTTTAGTCCGTGAGGCAGACACCCTGTCTACTTTTAAGGCTAGGCTTAAAACTTTCATTTTTGATAAAGCTTATAGTTAGGGTGGCTCAGGTTATCCTGAGCTATCTCTATAGTTATGCTGCTATAGGCTTAGACTTTTGGAGGACATAGGGACCCCCATTTCATCATTCTGCTTCATTCTCTCTCTGTTCTCCTATTCTGCAGAATCTGTTAGTTCAATCTCTAACCTTCTGCTCTCTCTGCTTTTCCTCAGAGTAGCTTTGCCTCGTCTGTTCCTGTTTGGCTGTGACGTCATCCTGGAAAAAAACATCAGCTGTGCTGCTTCTATCAACACCCTTGTTAATAGATGTTGGAGATCGGCCTGTTTTCCAGTGTGGTCCTGTTTCTCTGACCGTGACTGAGTGGATGTGCTCTCTTCGTCCTCTGGCATGGGAGCTGCCTTGGAGCTCGTCTGCCTGGCTGTGTGTTTCCTGGACGGGGCCGCCTTTTACAGCTGCTTTTTGTATCTCTGCTTCTGTCTCCTTGAACCCCAGTCGGCCTCGGCAGATGGCCGCTCACACTGAGCCTGGTTCTGCTGGAGGTTTCTTCCTGTTAAAAGGGAGTTTTTCCTCTCCACTGTCGCTACAAGCATGCTTAGTGTGGGGGATTGTATTTGAGTCAATGAGTCAATGCAATCAACTGGTTTTCCTTAGATAGAAAACTTTGTATCAATTTGACTGTATGATCTGGTTGAACTGTAAAGTGCCTTGAGATGACATGTGTTGTGAATTTGGCGCTATACAGGTGCTGGTCATAAAATTAGAATATCATGAAAAAGTAGATTGATTTCAGTAATTCCATTTAAAAAGTGAAACTTGTATATTATATTCATACATTACATACAAACTCATATATTTCAGATGTTTATTTTGTTTAATTTTGATGATTACAAATGACAACAAATGAAAATCTCAAATTCATCATATCAGAAAATTAGAATATTGTGAAAAGGTTCCAAATTGATGGCCCCTGGTGCCACACTCTAATCAGCTAATTAACTCAAACCACCTGCAAAAGCCTTTAAATGGTCTTTCAGTCTAGTTCTATAGGCTACACAATCATGGGGAAGACTGCTGACTTGACAGTTGTCCAAAAGACGACCATCGACACCTTGCACAAGGAGGGCAAGACACAAAAGGTCATCGCTAAAGAGGCTGGCTGTTCACAGAGCTCAGTGTCCAAGCACATTAATAGAGAGGCGAAGGGAAGGAAAAGATGTGGTCGAAAAAAGTGTACAAGCAAGAGAGATAACCGCACCCTGGAGAGGATTGTGAAACAAAACCCATTCAAAAATGTGGGGGAGATTCACAAAGAGTGGACTGCAGCTGGAGTGAGTGCTTCAAGAACCACCACACACAGACGTATGAAAGACATGGGTTTCTGCTGTCGCATTCCTTGTGTCAAGCCACTCTTGAACCACAGACAGCGTCAGAAGCGTCTTGCCTGGGCTAAAGAGAAACAGGACTGGACTGCTGGTGAGTGGTCCAAAGTCATGTTCTCTGATGAAAGTAAATTTTGCATTTCCTTTGGAAATCAAGGTCCCAGAGTCTGGAGGAAAAGAAGAGAGGCACTTCATCCACGTTGCTTGAAGTCCAGTGTAAAGTTTCCACAGTCAGTGATGGTTTGGGGTGCCATGTCATCTGCTGGTGTTGGTCCATTGTGTTTTCTGAGGTCCAGGGTCAACGCAGCCACATACCAGGAAGTTTTAGAGCACTTCATGCTTCCTGCAGCTGACCAACTTTTTGGAGATGCAGATTTCATTTTCCAACAGGACTTGGCACCTGCACACAGTGCCAAAGCTACCAGTACCTGGTTGAAGGACCATGGTATCCCTGTTCTTAATTGGCCAGCAAACTCTCCTGACCTTAACCCCATAGAAAATCTATGGGGTATTGTGAAGAAGAAGATGCAATACACCAGACCCAACAATTCAGAAGAGCTAAAAGCCACTATTAGAGCAACCTGGGCTATCATAACACCTGAGCAGTGCCACAGACTGATCGACTCCATGCCACGCCGCATTGCTGCAGTAATACAGGCCAAAGGAGGCCCAACTAAATACTGAGTGCTGTACATGCTCATACTTTTCATGTTCATACTTTTCAGTTGGCCAACATTTCTATAAATCCTTTGTTTTTATTGGTCTTCAGTAATATTCTAATTTTCTGATATGATGAATTTGAGATTTTCATTTGTTGTCATTTGTAATCATCAAAATTAAACAAAATAAACATCTGAAATATATGAGTTTGTATGTAATGTATGAATATAATATACAAGTTTCACTTTTTAAATGGAATTACTGAAATCAATCTACTTTTTCATGATATTCTAATTTTATGACCAGCACCTGTATAAATAAACTGAATTTAATTGAATTGAATTGTAGCTAAAGCAGGTCCTAGAAAAAGACTGAGTGTGTCGTTTTCATCTGTCTTTGGACTGCTGATTAATTTTGATGTTTGGCTGATAATTTCCAAACCCTTTCACCTCCACCTTCTCTTAGGAAGTTTTAAATGACATCACTTCCGTGACTCGACCTGTCAATCATTCGCACTATGATTGTAACCATGCCCGCTGACAGGGGGGGACAAACAGGCCAATTGTCCCAGGCCCAGGACAGAAGGGGGCCCAAAATTTCAACCCACATCCAGCCTCTCCTCCACCTTTGAAGCAAAAGCTTCATTAAAGTGTCATTCCTCCTGGACTTTTACTGTGTTCCCTGTCTCATCTTAACCGGTCCGGCAGAACACCGCCATGTTGAGCCTGGTTCTGCCAGAGGTTTCTTCCCAATGGGGAGTTTTTCCTCTCCACTGTCACTTCATGCTTGCTTATCATGTACAGGTTCTCTCAACCTGTGTTATCCAACTGGACTTCCATTTTCCAGGTCCCTGAGTGAAGCTCTAGAATCAGCCCACGCAATCCACTGGATCTCCCCATTAAGCTCAGCATACCATCTCGCCAACCAGCAGTCTACAGACTGACCAACTTCATCTATCTCCTCTCCACTATCAGTTTCAGGCCTAGGGGGAAAACAGCCCTATTCTTTGCTCCTGTTCATTCATATGTATCAATATTAAGTGCTGTTTCCTACCGAGGTCTGAGTACAAAGACAAAGTAATTGTATCATACCAGAAACAGGAACAAGACAGGACACAAACTAAGAAAAAGGGCTTTAAGCAATTAAACTTAATTTGATTATGAATACCATTCATTTAAATTGTTAATCAATTATAATCATTAATGTATTATTCTGACCAATTTCAATATGCAATGAAACAGCCATGCAACCAACCAACCATTCATCCATCCATCCATCCATCCATCCATCCATCCATCCATCCATCCATCCATCCATCCATCCATACATACATACATACATACATACATACATACATACATACATACATACATACATACATACATAAATATGTTTTCCATATACAGACGCCTCTTTCTTCAACTTGGCAGGTCACATGTCTTCAATTCAATTTCAATTCAGTTTATTCATAAAGTGTCAGTTCACAACACATGTCATCTCAAGACACTTCGTAATTCAACCAGATCATAGAGTAAAATTGTTTCAAAGTTTTCTATCAAAGAATAATGATTGCATCATCTCATTGACTCGAAGGCATTCCTCACACTTCCATTCTCTGAACACCATAAATATTCTAATTAAAAGCCAGCAATACTTAAAAAATAATACAAATTTAAGATTTTTTTCAAAGCAAAAAGTAAAAAAAAAACAAGTTTAAAGTCCCTTTAAAAACAGAAATGAATAAAAATTGTCGCTGTGCCTTTAAAAGACATAATCAAAGGTTACTGTGACAAGGGCAGGAGGTTTTTGATGAGCAACAACCAGACGTATATAAGTAGAGGCCCACATGTTCGTGTAAGCACACTTAGAGAGTATTACGAACATTTGAGGAATGGAAATCTGGAGATCAATTTTAAGTTTATTGAAACTGATGGCTACAGTTTGCTTTGGTGGGTCTATGGGTGGTTTGAAAAAAGAGACTGGACTCTCACAGGCTTCAACAGAGACTCCATTAGTAGAATGTACTTTGCAGGGTACTCCTCGTTCACCTGTCTTCTCCGCAGATGGCGACTTTATAATTGGAGGTGTTTTCTCAATTCATTACCAGCTTTACACAGTGATCTATAATTACACCACTAAACCTGAGTCTCCAAGATGCACAGGGAGGTTAGTAAAAGAGAGAGGTGGAGCGGATGTGAAGATGTGTGAAAAGATTTTTAGAGGATCTACAGCAAAGAATTTTGTCATGTTGAACAGTTTTCTTATTTTGTATCACTGTAGCAGAATCCTTAGCATAAGCTATTAGAGGGTTTTCTTGCCTTAACAAAAATGTATGTTGGTTGACTACCAGTTTAGTACTCAAACTATATGCTTAACATGGTAATTTAAATGTTGACTTTTACTAGGCATCACACTGAAATTTTCCCTAAGATCTGTATTGGTCTAATTCTATGCTTTGAATTTTGCTGGGCAAAATTTTGACCCCTGATTTGGTTAACAGATCAGAATCCCTTATGCATTGCAGTAAATGAAAAACACATTTTTATTGCAGGAAAGGTCTTGTATTTGTATTTTGTTTTAAAGTTGTTTTTTTCCCCTGCAAGCATTGATGCTCGGGAATTGCGCTTCTCCCGTTCAATGATCTTCGCCATTGAAGAGATAAATAACCGCACAGATTTGCTGCCCAGCATAAAACTTGGTTATCAGATCTATGACTCATGTGCCTCTGTGCCTGTGGCTGTGCATGTGGCATTTCAACTGACAAATGGACATGACCCTGTGTTTTACAAAGGCGTATACTGTTCTTCATCTGGTGTGGTAATGGCTACTGTTGGTGAATCTGGATCAACACCATCCATTAGCATGTCACAGATACTGGCATCTTTTAACATTCCTCAGGTAAATAGTCAATTAATTGAAGTTAATGTTCCAAAAAATTTATTATTCCCCTTGCTAAAGAAAAATCATTCTGTGTAATCTTTTGTTTTAGGTGAGCCACTACGCCACTTGTGCTTGTCTTTCAGATAAGCATTTGTACCCAAATTTCTTCAGAACGATTCCAAGTGACCAGTTTCAAGCTGATGCATTGGCCAAGCTGGTAAAATACTTTGGATGGACTTGGATAGGAGCTGTCAACTCAGATTCTGATTATGGAAATAGTGGAATGGCATCTTTTCTTAATGTAGCTCTCAGAGAGGGTATCTGTGTGGAGTACCTTGAATCCTTCTTTCGGACTGACCCAAGCAGGAAGATCCAAAGAGTCGCCAATGCAATCCGCAGGTCTCTGTTGTTCCATTTATCTGATTTTGTTTGTGTGATTACCCTTTCACAAAAATATTTTGCCCCTCTGAAATTAATACAAAGGTGATGTTTTTTTGTCTAAACAGTATTTTGAAACATGTAAGGGAGACCCAAAGATTAGGGTTTAATGTGCCAATACTCTTATGCATGCCTAAAGTGTACAGTAGGCTGCATATGATGTAGAAGGGTTGGGTAAATTATTTAACATTTTCATGATCTCACAGGTCAACTGCTATGGTTATTGTGGCATTTATTGCCTCTGGAGATATGAGGGTCCTGTTGGAGGAACTGGCTCAGGATCCTCCACCATCTCGCCAGTGGATTGGGAGCGAGTCCTGGGTGACTGATACCTTCATGGTAAAGTACAGTTTCTGTGCAGGAGCCATTGGAGTTGCTATCCCACAGTCTGTCATCCCAGGTCTGAGCGACTTTCTTCTGGATCTCTCTCCTTCTGAAGTGGCTGCCTCCCCTCTACTTAGCGAGTTCTGGGAGGATGCTTTCAACTGCAGCTTAAGAAAAAGTGAGAACACTTTCCTGAGGCGTTTTCAGATATTATTTCATATAATTACAAAGTCCATAGCTGCTATATGACCAGACACAAAATATCTCTATGATTAATACAGGTACTGGTATTTACAGTTATATCTGTTCTGATTTTTATGTTTTTATTTTATTTATTTTTTTTCAGAAAATAACACAGTGTAATTGATGCTTCAGTTAGGTTAAATTGTGGAACATCATGTGTATCATTTGAAAATAAATAATTATTTGTATCTTTACAGTAGGTTCTGTTAGAAGCAAAAAATTGTGTGATGGAACTCAAGATATAAAAAGGCTGGAAAACCCTTACACTGAAACATCCCAACTAAGAGTAACTAATATGGTGTATAAGGCTGCTTATGCAATAGCACATGCCTTTCACAATGCACTCTGTCAAGAAAAAAATGTCACTACTCAGTGTGACAAATTCCTCAAACTGAATGCAAAGCAGGTAAGTCCAAATAAAACAAAACTAAGAGTTTTTATTTCATTGCTAACTCTAGTAAAGCAATTCAACAAATTTTTGCTATTTTTTCTTTGTTTTTTAGATTTATTCAGAATTAAAGAAGGTAAATTTTTCTCAAAATGGTTATCATGTATCCTTTGATGCTAATGGGGAACCTGTAGCTGCATATGAGGTTGTTAACTGGCAAGTAACAGAGAGTGGAAGTACTGAGGTAGTAACAGTGGGTTATTATGATGCAACCCTGCCAATGGGCCAGCAGTTCCATATAAACAGAAAAATAACTTGGATGCAGGGTAGATCACAAGTAAGTTTATGAGCCATAGCATACAACAGCAGTGGTTGAATTTGTAGAGTACACTGACATTATTTGTCTTACAGGTACCAGTGTCAGTTTGCTCAGAGAGTTGTCCTCCAGGGACTCGTAAAGTGTTGCAGAAAGGAAAACCCATCTGCTGCTATAATTGTATACCATGTCCTGATGGAGAAATCAGTAATATTACAGGTAGAGTATAATGTACTTTTTTTGGTAGACCTGAATCATCAAATATTTAAGTAATAACAGACCATTTTGACTTGATTTTCAGATTCACCAGATTGCTACCCATGCCCCAGGGAGTTCTGGTCAAATGCAAAGAAAGATGCATGTTTACCCAAACCAGTAGAGTTTCTTTCTTTTAAGGAAATTCTATCAATAATCCTGGCTGCATTCTCTGTTAGTGGGGCCTCCCTGGCCATCATAACAGCAGTGGTTTTCTTTCGTCACAGAACGACCCCAATTGTAAGAGCTAACAACTCTGAGCTGAGCTTCCTGCTGCTCTTCTCTCTGACCCTGTGCTTCTTATGTTCCTTAACTTTCATTGGAGCACCTTCTGAGTGGTCCTGCATGCTGCGGCACACAGCGTTTGGCATCACCTTTGTTCTCTGTATCTCCTGTGTTCTTGGCAAAACTATAGTTGTTTTAATGGCTTTTAAAGCAACACTCCCAGGGCACAATGTAATGAAATGGTTTGGTCCTCCACAACAAAGATTAACTGTAGTGTCTTTTACATTTATTCAAGTAATAATATGCACTGTATGGTTGGTTGTAAGTCCTCCCTTCCCAGTAAAAAATCTTTCCACTTACAAGGAAAAGATCCTCCTGGAATGTGCATTAGGCTCTGCTGTTGGTTTCTGGGCTGTGCTTGGCTACATCGGCCTACTTGCTGTTTTTTGCTTTGTGTTAGCAGTTCTTGCTCGGAAACTACCTGATAATTTCAATGAAGCCAAGCTGATCACCTTCAGCATGTTGATATTCTGTTCAGTCTGGATCACCTTCATCCCAGCATATGTCAGCTCTCCTGGAAAATTTACTGTTGCAGTGGAGATATTTGCCATTTTGGCCTCCAGTTTTGGACTGATACTGTGTATATTTGCTCCAAAGTGTTTCATCATATTATTTCAACCAGAAAAGAACACAAAAAAACATGTTATGAATAAAAATTAATTTAGGTTTTTTACAAAATAATTGATGGAATAAAGTTAATGTCAGGTACACTTGTTTACTAATGTTGTCAAAAATGTTGAAATCCTTCTTTATTAGCAGGGGCAAAATCTAAGTATATCTTTTATTGTGTTGCAATTCTATGACTTCTAATTTAACCTGTTGTTGCCTTTTTGACAAATAGCCAATTATATGACAAACAAAATTAAATAAAACTTTTATTTAAAATTTGTTCTAAGCTCTTTTTTAACATTTGATTTAACTCAACAATGCTGGTATTTAGATAAAATTTAATTTTTCAATTTTGGCATATATATGACCTGTGCCATTATTACTCTCTGTGCTCTTTAAATAAATATAGGCCAGTAATTCAAATCTTTTTCATGTTTGATCTCTAACTCCAGTCTCTGTAGCCGTCTTTAATGCTGAGTTGGTCTTGGCACTTTCAATCAAGATGTTAGTTATTTTTTTAAATGAGTGACGGGCAGCTTTGACTGAAAAGTTGTAAAACATTAAGGCCTGGCTGCTGGCAGTGAATTCAGACTTAAAACTACAGTATAGTGTGTAAGTTTTAGCAACATATAGTGCACAGGAGCTGAGCAGAGGCAATGAATGATATTGCATGCGAGCGTGGGAAATCTCCAACATGAACATTTAAACGAGAATGGGATGGCTTATTCTCTCTAATGGAAAAGGAAGGCAGTCATTGCTATGGCAACACAGTGACACCCCATGTCACTGACATATTATCAAATATTTGCCCTTTTCTTAAAAACAAATGTATACAGTCAGATAAAACTATTTCAAAGAGGATCTTCCCTTTTGGAATAAGTTACATTTTTTCATATACCTAGCTTGTGATTTTTTGTCAGCATGAAGAAGATGCAGGAAGCCAGCGGACCTTACATTGGAGGAACATGTTTCCTCCACCATTAGGTCGCTGTTACACCTGCTGCCAAATTCCAATTAGCCTTCACTTGTGCAGACTAGCTATTGAAGGGCCTGACTGTCCACTAGCCTTAACCACTACGTGGTTTGGGATGGCACTTAATGTGGTGGACCCTGCATGGTAGCGGGCAAACAGAGGGTTAATGCTTAGTGTTTAGGGGCCGGTTTGGAATTGGGCCTCTGTTTTGAGCTGTTGAGTCATTATTCAACTCTGTCAACTGAGGCCACACCCTACATGCTCATGCCAAAAAAGAACAATACGTTTGAAGATGAAAAAAAAAAAAGAACATCTGTGAGTTTTAAAAAAATCCCAGCAATTTTGAAAAAAAAAAAAAAACTTGTTAATTCAGATTTAAATGTTTTTCTGGCTGCACAGCAGGGCACTTGTTAGCACTGTTACCTTGCAGCAAAAAGGCTGCAGGTTTCATACCTGGTCTGGGATCATTCTGTATAGAGTTTGCGTGGGTATTCTCTGGGTGCTCTGATTTCCTCCCACATTCCAAAAACATTACTGTTAGGTTAATTGTCTTCTCTAAATTGTCTTTAGGTGTGAGTGAGTGTGTCTGTGCATCGTTGTATGTTCCTGCGTGTATGTGGTGCCCTTGATTGTGTAATCTTACTGGAAGGTCAAGAATACATTACATAACTAGAAATGGAAGTATGTAGCAAATTGATAAATCATTCAAATCGAGGGTAAATCCAATGTTTATCTGTGAAATGTTTATAACTGTAATTGCGACAGACTGGAGGAATGTCCAGGGTGTACCTTGCCTTTTGCTGAGAGTCTGCCAGAGATAGGCACCAGCCCCAACAATGACCCTGATGGAATAAGCAGTAGAATCTTCAAGCTAGAAATATTTTTTTTCTTTTAAGAATAAACTTTGTTTAAATTTGTATCTTTTTTTTTGTTCAAACTAATTTTATAGCCCCAATTTAGCTCCATATAATTCAGTACAAATACAAATTAAAGTGCTTTGCAAGGGTTAAACAATAAAGAAGACGGGAAACATCATAAAAGCAGGTACTAAAGAAGAAAAAAACATTTTGACCACAGACTTAGGGCCCCTTCACCTTGCCGATTTAACATATGCCTGACGTCCCAGAATCTCGTAAAACACCGTAATTTTGGGCGTATAAAAAGAGTATTCATTATGAGTCCAGAACTTGTATCCAACGACAGCCTAACGTGTTCATCGTGTAATGGCCATGAAATTATGCACAAGCCAGTGTCCTTAAGGGGGTTACAATGCGTCCAGAGGCACCTGGCCTGCATAAAAAGATGTCTTTGATCGTGGCATTAACCTAGCTGCTGTTTAACGCCCACAAAAAAGAAAGAAGAAATTAAAAGAAAAAGAAAGTAAGAAAGTCTGCAGTCACAGCAGATTCAGGGTCATGTCTGCTAGGAAGTTTGTTAGTAGTGGGCTCCGATGGAAAAATGTCACCACTTTCCTCATCTTCCCCAGGAGCCGGGATACCTGACTTATTGAGACTGCATTCTTGGCTGCAAGATTAACAGGATGTGCAAAGCAGCCAATTTGTGGCCCCAGTCCAGCTGTTGCATTTACTGCATTCACTATATTTTTTGCATTGTCTGTAGTAACAGGGATTTTTCTGCTGCCCCTGTGCAACTTCCATTCTGTCACTGCTTCTGTAAGTGCTTCAGAGAGATGCTCGCTAGTATGGCTCTCATAAAAGGGGCGTGTCTATAAAACTGAGCTTTTCATCTCCCATTCTGAGGTACTGAAATGGACAGTCACAGTCAGGAAACTTTCAGTAGCTCTGGAGGTCCATCCATCACTAGTTAGCGCTACAGAGGCCGTGTTAGACAACTCTTTCACAATTCTTTGTCGGGTCTCTTCATAAAGTGCGGGAATTAGCGTGTTGCTGAAGTGTTTGCGGGAGGGGATTTTATATCGTGGCTCCAGTGCTTTAATCATTGAACGGAATCCTCCACTACAGAATAAGGCTGCATATCTTTGGCGATGAAATATCCCACTCCTTTAGTTATGCATTTCGCCCTTTCTGACTCATCATCGTATGTCTGTTTAAAAGCTGCTGGGAATTAAAGTTTTACTGTCGACTCTTTCCCTCTCCTCCTTGCACTGCCAACTGTCTCACTGGGATGATTTCTCTGCAGGTGAGCTGACATGTTGGTCATGTTGCTTTTAGCATACACAATACGTGTTGCTCAATGCTTGCACACTGTTGCACTTTTATCCACGACTTTCTTTCCGCCGTCATCGTAGGTCACTCTGAATGTAAAGTGGTCCCATACAGCAGACCTATAAAGTGCTGCTGGCGCGTCTTCCAACTCCTGTTTTTTCCCACTCGCCATACCCACACAATTCTCCACAACAACAGATTTTTTTCTGTTTCACTCGGCTATGCTGCTTTGCTTCTTCTTCTTGTTTACTACTGGTGGTTGGCTTTGGTCACAGTATCGCCACCTGCTGTCCTGGAGTGAACACGCTTCGCTTATGAGAAAAAGTAGCTCATAAACCGTTCCACCCCTACTAACCACTAAGCCGCCACTCCACCAACTTAATTCTTAGCCCTGGTGAGAAACCTCTGATTCTGTATCTGATTCAAGAGTGGCTTGACACAATTAATGCGACTTCTAACTCCGTGTCTTGCATACATCTGTGCATGGCAGTCATTGAAGCACTGATGCCAGCGGCAGTCCACTTTTCAGTGGTGATTTTTCACAATCCTCTCCAGAGTGCGAGTATCACAGTTGCGTGTGCACTTTTTTTCTTGAATTTTATCTTACCCTTTGCCTCCCTATTCATGTGATTGGAAGGGCAAGACACTAAAGCATGACCTTTTAATAAACTTATTTCCTTTTTTGGTTTCCCTGAATGGAATTACTGAAAAACGATAAACTTTTTATGGTATGCTGATTTTATGACCAGCGCCTGTAAAATGTGCAAGTCTTACTTGTGAAACAAATGAGTAAAAGAAAAACATAAAATATTTAATGTGGAATTGTAAAAGGTGAGGTAGGAATCATAGAAGAAAACAGATGAGAGTGTCCTATTTTGAGATAAATGATCACCTGACATGTAATAGAGAAGGTTTAAAAACCTGTAAAACATGCACACACTTCTACAGACCCTTGAGGAATGGAGATCTGGGCTGCTTTTAGTGCCCTGAGATTCACAGCCATTTTGTTGGAGCTGATGTCAGTGGTTTGTCCTGGTGTCTCTTTTAATAGCCTGCAACAGAGGACAGCGCCTACATTTCCTCTGTCTCGGGCTGGTCTCAGTGCTAACCCTTCATCAGTGCGGTGTACCCTACAAGGCACCCCTCGTGTGCCTGCATTCTCACAGGATGGAGACTTTGTTATTGGAGGCATTTTCTCCATTCATTACAAACTTTATACAGTTATTTATAACTACACAACCAAGCCTGAACCTCCAAGATGCACAGGGAGGTTAGTATAAAGAGGGAGAAAACATCTGTGATGGGGAACAAATACAAATGTGAAGATTTGGCTGTAGCTTTTGCTATTTGTTTAGACCTATAATGGGATAAATTGGCTTTTCTGTTATCATCTTCTCTTATACTGCATTTCCATGACTTACAAAAAACAGGATCCAATATACAGAAAGATGTAGTCACAATTTCTAAAATATTGTGAATCAGTATTCTTTAATTGGAATCCTTTGCAAAAATGATCATATAATACTATGTGTGTGTGTGCTGTTGATGGTAGTGAAACTACAAATGAATTATGTTACCAACTGTTAAATGTTTTGAGTTGCTGCTTTCCTTTTGACGGTGAACTCTGTTTATCCATTTAGTATTTGATGTGAGGTTTTCTTCTTTCTTTGAAAATACAAACTCTGATTTTGTGCAGCTTAAACACTCGAGTTCTGCGCTTCTCTCGTACCATGATCTTTGCAATTGATGAGATAAATAACAGCTCTAAGCTACTGCCTGGCATCAAACTTGGATATGAGATTTATGATTCCTGCATAGCAGTTCCAGTGTCTGCACATATTGCATTCCAACTGTCTAATGGCCAGGACCCTGTATATTACAAGAACAGTAACTGTTCTCAGTCTGGAGTGGTGATGGCTGCTGTTGGTGATTCTGGATCCACCCCATCAATCAGCATTTCGCGCATCTTCCGGTCCTTTGGCATCCCCCTGGTAGGAATGTTAGTGTGTCTGAGCCAGCACTGTTTTCTTATTTTTTACAAAAGAACTTTTTTTATTTTATTTTATGAATTTAGGTGAGTCCATTTGCCACATGTGCCTGTCTGTCAGATAAGCAGCAACACCCAACATTTTTCAGAACAATTCCCAGTGACCAGTTCCAAGCTGATGGGCTGGCCAAACTGGTGAAACACTTTGGGTGGACTTGGATAGGTGCAGTGCGCTCCAACTCTGACTATGGAAATTATGGCATGGCATCTTTTCTTGACGCAGCGCTCAGAGAGGGGATATGTGTGGAGTATTCTGAAGCCTTCTATCGGACCGATGCCCCCTACAAGATAAAAAGAGTTGCTGATATGATTCGAAGGTTGGTTAATTTCTGCTTTTGCACATTTGAAGACTTTCTTTAAAGCCAAATTAGACATATAATATGACATTTTGGTCTTCTGTCATTCTCTTAATGTTAGTTTAAATGAAACACACATACCCAGCTCTGAAATCTATATTTTTGAATAAGCTTGAAATTGTGCATATATATCCATATATTTAAGATATAAAAAATTCTTGTTATAAACACAGGTCAACAGCCATTGTTGTTGTGTCATTTGCTGCATCTGGTGATATGAAGGTTTTGTTGGAGGAGCTGGCCCGGGACCCTCCTCCACCTCGTCAGTGGATTGGAAGTGAGGGTTGGGTTACTGATCCACACTTGATGAGCTTCAGTTTCTGCAGAGGGGCCATTGGAGTTGCTATTCAGCAATCTGTGATCCCGGGTTTGAGAGACTTTCTTCTGGATCTCTCTCCCTCTAAAGTCACTAGCTCCTCAGTGTTGACTGAATTCTGGGAGGAGGCTTTTGAGTGCAGTTTGACAGAAAGTGAGATTTTTTTTCTTTTAAAAAACATGCAACAATAAATATATCAAAATTTCATTTAGTCATTTAATTGTTTTATCACTTCATACTATGCGTTTTTATAAAGAAAGATATTGCAATTACATTTCTAAGTGAGTGTACTTTCAATATTAAATTAAAATTTCAATTTATAAAAGCATTGAAGTAGTCTTAATCTGTGTACAATTGATCGGTGAGTATTTTTGCCATTTAGTGTTTGCTAAGATGTCACAGGTATATGTGAAGTGCAATATTTGACATATTCTAGATTGAATGTTTAACCTCTGAATTCTTAAAGATTTGTGATAAAAGATATATGTTAACATGTGTGTGCAAAATATCTTTCAAAGTTAGATGTTTTTGTTTTTAGATGCAGATCTGAACAAACGAGAATGTGATGGAACTGAAGATATTAACCGGCTTAAGAATCCTTACACTGAAACATCCCAGTTAAGGGCGACTAATATGGTTTATAAGGCTGTTTATGCAATAGCTTATGCCATTCATAGTGCAGTATGTATGGGGAACAAATCAACCATTTACTGTGACAAATACTTCAACCTGGAGCCTAAACATGTCAGTTTAAGTAATAAGTGAATCTGAAAACTTCTGATTGTATCTGTAAGGCTATTAATTATTTTACCAGTGTGTTTCTTTCTTAACACACAGGTTTTTACTGAATTAAAGAAGGTCAACTTCACCAGAAATGGATATCATGTCTCTTTTGATGGTAAAGGTGACCCTGTGGCTTTTTATGAGCTTGTAAACTGGCAGAAAAGTGATAGTGGAATTATGGAGCTGGTTACAGTGGGGTACTACGATGCATCACTGCCAATGGGAGAGCAGTTCCGTATAAACAGGAACTTAACCTGGCTAGATGGTGGCACACAAGTAAGGAACCTAATGATAAGAACTGCAAAAAATGACTTGTTGATTGCAACAGTAGCTGAGCTAATATTTTGATATTGTCTTTCCTACAGGTACCAGTGTCAGTTTGCTCTCAAAGTTGTCCTCCAGGAAGTCGCAAGGTTTTGCAGAAAGGAAAGCCCATCTGCTGCTATGATTGTATACTCTGTCCTGAGGGAGAGATCAGTAATATCACAGGTAGACCATGTTCTTTTTATGCACATCTGTCTTTTGGAACATTTCCTAACTAAAATCCTTTTTTTGGGCGGGTATTTTCTCTAGATTCTCCTGACTGTTTCCTTTGCCATGAAGAATTCTGGCCTAATACAAAGAAAGATGCTTGTTTGCTTAAACCTGTGGAGTTTCTTTCTTTTGACGAAGTGCTTGGAATCATCCTGGTTGTATTCTCTGTTAGTGGGGCCTGCTTGACGATTACGGCAGCAACTGTTTTCTTTTATCATAGGACAACTCCAGTTGTCAGAGCCAACAACTCTGAACTTAGTTTCCTGTTGCTCTTCTCTTTGACTCTGTGTTTTTTATGTTCATTAACTTTCATTGGAGCACCTTCTGAGTGGTCCTGCATGCTACGGCACACAGCATTTGGCATCACTTTTGTTCTCTGTATTTCCTGTGTTCTTGGGAAAACTTTGGTGGTTTTAATGGCCTTTAAAGCTACACTTCCAGGAAATAATGTAATGAAATGGTTCGGTCCTCTACAGCAAAGACTGACTGTAGTGTGTCTCACGTTAGTTCAGATAATAATATGTACCTTGTGGCTAGTTGTGAGTCCTCCTTTTCCAGTGAAAAATCTAACCACATACAAAGAAAAGATCCTCCTGGAATGTGCATTAGGTTCTGCTGTGGGTTTCTGGGCTGTGCTTGGCTACATTGGCCTGTTGGCTGTTTTTTGTTTTGTGTTAGCTTTTCTTGCTAGAAAACTACCTGATAATTTCAACGAAGCTAAACTAATAACCTTCAGTATGTTGATATTTTGTGCCGTCTGGATCACCTTTATCCCAGCATATGTCAGCTCACCTGGAAAATTTACTGTGGCTGTGGAGATATTTGCCATTCTGGCCTCCAGTTATGGACTGATTTTGTGCATATTTGCCCCCAAATGTTTCATTATTTTGTTTCAGCCTGAGAAAAACACCAAGAAATACATGATGAACAAAAAATAAAATTTTAAAGGTTTACAAACAAGATTTGGCAATGACTTAAATGTGATGTCATATAAAAATGTTATGAATTTATTGCAATGTTATGTAATGTAATCATACAATGTCATCAATTTGGAAAGAAAATAATATATAGGGCTGAAAAATTATGGAAAATAGCTTTGCTCACTCTAACGTAAGCTTTTAAACTGTGAGATATAACTGAAGTAGGCAACCATAGTGTTAAAAATAGTTTCATTCTCTGTTATAATTTGAAAAAAAAAAAAATGTCATGCTGGTATCCTTACTGACTAATAATTCTTAATGCACTCAGAGTGGAATAATAAATATGAATCAAGAAAAATCAAACCACAGTAAATGTTTTACAGTCATTTTGTAAAAGTGTAATTTTACTTTGTGTCAAATATCTCTTCTTAAATAAAAATCTTTGAAAATAACTGTTTGGTTTAATATTTGTATTAGTTCAATGACTGAGTTAGAAAGAGAGTTTGGAAAGAATTAAAACCAGAAAAGACTAAAGGAATAGTACACCCAAAACATGATTAGCCTTCCTTTTCTACTCACCCCCATGCTGAACAAAACTCTGGAGTACTTTTTTGATATCTCAAATGCATCTGGAGATCTGGGAGGCTTCTTGCTGTCTGCTGACATTCAAATAATGGAGGTCTATGGTGACCGAGACAGAAAGGTTCATAAAAGTCCACAAAAACGTGTCAATATTCCTCCATACTGCTCGTCCAATGTAATCCAAGTGTCCTGAGTGGGTAGCATCCAGAATTTACTCGAAACGAAGTCATTTAGAACGTTTTAGAGCCTAAACAGTAGTGTATAGGATTTCCTAATAGCGCCCCCATGCGCGCTCACGATTCTACGGAAGCCGGCAGACCAAACCGGAAGAAAGTGCGCATTCAGCGTCTGCTCTGCCGATAATGCAAGCGTAGAAGAAGAAATGTGCTGTTTACCTGTGCAAAGAAAGAAACAACGAAAGAAAAATGTCTGAGGACTTCAGTGTTGAGGAAGAGCATGAGTTCTTTGCCGAGCTGAATGCGCTGGTTTGGTCTGCCGGCTTCTGTAGAATCGTGAGCGCATGGGGGCGCTATTAGGAAATCCTATACACTACTGTTTAGGCTATAAAACGTTCTAAATCACTTCGTTTCGAGTAAATTCTGGATGCTACCCACTCAGGACACTTGGATTACATTGGACGAGCAGTATGGAGGAATATTGACACGTTTTTGTGGACTTTTATGGACCTTTCTGTCTCGGGCGCCATAGACCTCCATTATTTGAATGTCAGCAGACAGCAAGAAGCCTCCCAGATCTCCAGATGCATTTGAGATATCAAAAAAGTACTCCAGAGTTTTGTTCAGCATGGGGGTGAGTAGAAAATGAAGGCTAATCATGTTTTGGGTGTACTATTCCTAGACTAATGTCAATTTAAAAAAGAAATTATAGAAAGGTCAGTTTAACTTTACCGTAAGTCATAGTGAAAACACATCAAACATGGAAAACGGTTATGTGTTAAAGTAAAGATAACCTAACCTTAAACATTACACCAAAAATAGAACCCCCAAGCCTAAACAGGGTACAAGCTACATTAAGGTGTGAGAATATTTTTTTAACAAGTTGGGCAGTTGGGAGAACGGTTAAAACTAAAACTATATACAGGCTAAAAATTGGGGACTGCAAAAAATGTTATTGTGGGACAAATGTGAAGATCCTCCAACAGCTCAGTTGACAATGTAAGGTTTTATCTCCAGATATAGTTATTTGAAAAGGACTGTGAAAAATCTACCAAATCAACTGGAGAATATGTCATGGGCCTAAAAAACTTACATTAACAGGTATTTCCAATCCAAGGCATAAGTGGTCATTAACACCACAACAAGTCAAGAAAATTGATTATTATAGAAAGCTGTCATGATTTTTTGCAGAAAACCAAACAGAGAGACCAGGGAAAAGTTTGACAGGTTTTATTGTGAGTTGGTAGAGAGGAGTCCAGTGCTGCTCTGAACACCGTTGAACCGGGACTGAAAAGTGAAGGGGAGGTTCTGCAGTTAGTTCAGGCTCAGTGGGAAATTTGTGTCTTTGATTTGAAGAAGGGAATAAAGGCAACAGGAACCAAGCGCCACCTGGTGGAAAACAAACAAAAGCACAACCCACACAAACTGGATTCCTAACAAAAGCTGTGATGTATAAAGATTTTTAACATGTATAACATAACTCACTATGCTGTAGCAACACTACAAACCTTTCTTCACAATATCAAAAGTAAGGAGAAATAACAATTCCTTAATTTATCTTATTAATTCAGTTTTATAAAAAGATGCTTACATTTGTTTTTTAGATTCAGACCCAAAATCCTGAGGCACTCAAAATAAATCATTCATTTTAAGTATGGAGCGTATTGGTGATCCTATCTTTACTTTAGAGGGACCAAAGAATTATTAGGGGTGGTTGCGGGTTGGCAAAGGTATATCTGTTTTTGATAAAACTGTATCCTTGTTGAATTTGTTTAACTTGATAATTTTTCATTATTCTTATTGTTCAGAGATATAAGGCTTCATAAATCAAATAATAGTGATAGATTGCAATGGTTAATTTATTTTTAATACTTTTATTTTTAATCCAAAAGACAAGCATCAGAGCATAACAGTGAGAAGATTAAACGCAAAAACACCGGCTTCCTATATGTTGCTGGAGTCTGAAAAACTTGAGGATTTTCTCCAAACACAAAATCCCAGTACATTTCAAACCTAACAAGACCCTTAGACAGAGGATAGTGCATCCTAAAGACAAAACCCCCAAACCTAAGATGAGCGGAGTGGTTTATGCAGTTCAGTGCAGTGAGGAGTGCTCTGATCTTTACATTGGAGGAACCAAAAAACCTCTCCACAAACGCATGGCTCTACACAGGCGAGCTACCTCTTCTGGACAAGATTCTGCTGTCCACAGATACCTTAAGGACAAAAGACATTCATTGGAGGACCAGAATGTTCACATTTTAGATAAAGAGGACAGGTTGTTTGAAAGGGGTGTGAAGGAAGCCATTTATGTTAAAGAGAAAAAACAACCTTAAACAGAGGGGGTGGACTCAGGTTTCACCTCTCACAAACCTACAACGCAACGGTACAGTTGATTCCTTCCAAATCCCATCTCAACCCCTTTCGCTATGCAGGGGAACAAAATATCTCACCAGATCAGCCAGGCCAACAATGGCCCTTAACGACTGCTTTTTCAGAGGAATGGGCCAGTATCGGGTATTGCAGGCCAATAATGACCTCAACGACTCCTATTATTTATTTATTTTTTTGTTTTCCAGCTTCACTGTGCATGTTTACTAAGCCATTAAAAGGCTTGTGTTGGGCTATTCTATAAAAGCCTGGAACTCAACGCTAATCCAGACAGTTTGAATTGAGAAAGCTTTCTGAATGGGAAGCGAAACATCTTCAATCTTGGAAAACAGAGTTAACTAGCTTTTTGAAATATTTTTAATACTGTGCAAATGCATTTTACAAAGCATTTCTGTCAACGTATAGAACTGAAGTGACTTCAGAAATGAGCAAAAATATTGTGATCCAACACCTTTATTCTGACAATCGGCATAAGGGAAACCAAATCCCTATCTGTTTAGGAATGCCAAACACTAAGGTTGCTCGCAAACAATGTTGCTTCCTTTGAACCCGGGAACAACACAATTTTCCCAATCCCAGATTAGCTGCTGAAGCATCATCACCACAGTGGTAAAAGAGTGAAGGATATGTAGTGAAGCCAGTTCTCTGGCATTTTCTGCAGCAGTTACTGGTGTTTTTATTTTTTGTCTTGATGTTTTGGAACCAGTGGATATTTTTGTTTTCCAAGTGGCGTGTGAAATAATTTTAAACGGCTCTCTGTAAATAAGCGAAGAGCTTATTTACAGAATCAGAAGCCACTGAACTACTGTAGGTCCCTCATCAACGTGACATCCCCACCCCAACTCGAACCAAGATAAGCCTGGTTTTCCGGGAGTACTTCAGCTACTATGATCTAGACTTTCTCTATCTCACAGAGACATGGCTGGGCAAAGTCTGAATCAGCTGCTCTATTGGAAATTTCACCAACAGGCTGCTATTATTTTGACTCCTCAGAAACATTTGAGCCATGGGGGAGGAACTACATTGGTGATTAAAATGTTTGTAATTGGAAACAACGCTTTGTAAATTTAATCTCTTTCTTCTAGCTTTGCGATTACTTCCTTCAATAGTTTAAATAGGGTTGTTCTGACCCAGTACTGTTTGGTGTAATTTACCATCCACCCAAAAACAATAACGATTATATCAGTGCCTCCTCTGAATTCCTGTTGGAGATGTTGAAGGGATATGATCACAGCATTATTGTTGGTTATTTCAACTGATCAACAGTAATTGTAACCACTCTGTTGTAATTTTCTTTATTTCTTGTGAGATCAATAAAGTTCTATTCTATTCTGTTTGTGTTTTCTTTAAGAGCATCTGATGAGGTCTGCTGCACCATGTTTGTCAAGATCATTAGCGGGCCCTTGGCTGATGTCATCATGGCCCTCTTCTGATCAGGATTCTTTGTGTAGAGAGGTTATACACACTCTGCTTTGTTTTAAAAAAATATAAATATAAAAAATTTAACGCAGATGTCTGGGGGACAGTGATTCGCCTACATGTTATGAATACTGCTGTACCATACAGAATCAATTATGAACAGTTTAGTTTGTGCCTTAAAATTGTTGCCCATAGGAAGACGCTACTTGGATATAACAAAACAGAATATCCTCGTAACAGCTCCAAATGACACAAAACTAATATGGGTGAGTAGAACATGATGTAATAACATAAAATCAAGGGACCAATGTAAAAAAAAAACTGTGTTCCCCTTTAACTCACTAGTTATTTCCATAAAAAGAGGCCACAAATCAGAGTTATCCAGTTTAAAATGCAAAGCTACCAAATTAGGAAAATGTATGCAAACCTCCAACATTTATGAAAGTACTAAACATCCCTCTATAACTCTGTAAATAGGAATACTTTTGGTAATTCTAGATAGCCTAAAACAGAACAACAGCATCATATGTTGGTAAGTGTATAAAAAAGCTGCATTTACTTTTTTCTTGTGCAGGTACAGTAAGTCTCTAATGGAGACCTTTTATCTCTGGTCATCTGATACTGTATATAACAGAGGATGTTTATAAATATGTAAGCACATAATCAAATGCAGCCAATTAATAATGGAGAATTGGATAGCATTTAATGGCTTGAGGTTAGCAGTCAGTTTTTATGAACTGATGTCAGTGGTTAGTCTGGGTGTTTCTGTAAATGCCCTGAAACATAGTCCCGATCCCACACATCCTCTGGATCCAGCTGGAATTAATGCTGAGGCTTCTTCAGTACAGTGTATATTGCAGGGTAAACCTCTTGTGCCTGCATTCTCAAAGGATGGGGACTTTGTAATTGGAGGTGTTTTCTCCATCCACTTTAAACTTCATTCAGTGATTTATAACTACACCACCAAGCCCAAGTCTCCAAGATGCACAGGGAGGTTAGTAAGACCAACAGGTGAAAACAAGATAAATAATGGAAACGCTTTGATTTTGTATTTTGTAAAATATGTGTTCCTATTTGTAAACTATTAATCTATTTAAGTATTTCTGAATTTCATGTATAATTTTAATTTGGTGTAAGCATTAAATTTGCTGCATGTAGTAATTTGAAATTTCTATTTTTTTGTTAAGTAAATTGTAGCATTTTACATATATATATATTTGTATTTAGTCACAGTAATTTATTGCATATAATTGGAAGTTTACTGACTGTGTCACAGCACTCAACTGAATCCTTCTGTACAGTGTAAACCCTCGAGTACTGCGTTTCCTACGCACCATGATCTTTGCCATTGAGGAGATAAATAACAGCACAGAGCTGCTGCCCGGCATTAAACTTGGATACCAGATCTATGACTCATGCCTAGCAATACCTGTGTCAGTTCAGGTAGCATTTCAGCTCTTAAATGGCCAGGAACCTGTATTCAACACAGGTGAAAATTGCTCTCAATCTGGAGTTATGTCTGTGGTCGGAGACTCTGGGTCCACCCCATCCATCAGCATTTCTCGCATTTTCGGTTCTTTCAATATTCCGCTGGTAAACTGTTGCCTATACACACACATATACATTTATATTTATATTTATTGTATATTTTTATTGAGATTCAATTTGGATTGATATTTGATTGAAAGATTGAATTTTTTATAATTATTGATTTAGGTGAGTCCATTTGCCACATGTGCCTGTCTGTCAGACAAGCAGCAGCACCCAACGTTTTTTAGAACAATTCCCAGTGACCAGTTCCAAGCTGATGGGCTGGCCAAACTGGTGAAACACTTTGGCTGGAATTGGATAGGTGCAGTGCGCTCCGACTCTGATTATGGAAATTATGGCATGGCATCTTTTCTTGACGCAGCACTCAGAGAGGGGATATGTGTGGAGTATTCTGAAGCCTTCCATCGGACAGACCCACACATCAAGATCAAAAGAGTTGCTGATGTGATCCGAAGGTATTTTGTTGTATTTTTCTTTTTGTGTTATTTGTAAAGATGGATTTTGTCTGAAAATATTTTGTAAATATTTTACAAGTATACAATGATTATATTGAACCCTACCATTGTTCCTGGATGACTAATGTTTTACAATTGTTATCTTTCTTTATCTTTATGTGAGGTTTCTGATGTGTTGTATCCTTTCCAATATCTCTTTAGAGCCACTGCTGTTGTTGTGGTGGCGTTTGCATCATCAGGAGATATGAAGTTCCTCATGGAGGAGCTGGCCCTAGACCCTCCTCCGCCTCGTCAGTGGATTGGAAGTGAGGGATGGATTGGAGACCCATACTTGCTCACCTTCAGTTTCTGTGCAGGGGCCATTGGAGTTGCCATACAACAATCAGTGACCCCAGGGCTAAAAGACTTTCTTTTCGATCTCTCTCCCTCTGAGGTTGCTGCCTCCTCAGTGCTGACTGAGTTCTGGGAGGATGCTTTCAACTGCACTTTGACAAAAAGTAAGAAAGTGTTCATATCTTCTGTCCTTAGATTTGCAGACATACAGTAGCACATACTTAGTGTTTTGTATTGAATTGGTTTTGAGCATATTTTTGTTAGGTCATTTTATAAAAAAACATATAATAGGAAAGATAATGTTTTAATATAATTAACTAAATAGTAAAAAGTATAATGACATGTACATGTGAATGCACTTTTCAATAGAAGAGTAATATTTAAATGATATTTGTACAGGTAAGGCAAGTTATGTAATATTAATTGTGTGCAATTCACAGAACTTACAATGAAAGTGAATACACTACCTTGTTCATTTTTAAAATATAAATTTCATGAAACTGCATTTCAGAGTAAATTGTACGGGAAAAAATATATATATGATACCAAAAATCACTTACTTTATTAACATTTTGAAAAAAAAACTGAAGGTAGATTTGATATCTTTGCAGGAAATAGGCTGTTGGAAAGTGACCAACTGATGATTTTAGGTGATAAAAAAGTGAAAGTTGTGGTATGTAAAGGTGAAACATGAGATAAGCAGCCCTTTTAACTGCTTAGTATCACATGTAAAGTAAAAATCCACAGCAAAATCAACAACAGGAGATGTTTCTCATCACAAAATAGGAAGAATTTTAATAATTCTAACTAACCTAAAACATAACAGTCACATTATATGTTGCCAAAGATAAAAAGCTTTTCCTGATACTTTTATAAAATTGCTAGAAAATATTTTATGCATTTTATTTTATCATTTTATCTTATTTAATTATCTGTTAGTTTTGTGGGTTGGTAAATATAACTGCCTGTCCTTTTCCTTTGTTTATAGATTTTGATTTGAGCAAAATGTTGTGTGATGGAACAGAAGATATTAAAACGCTCAGAAGTCCATACACTGAAACATCACAGTTGAGGATTAATAACATGGTATACAAGGCTGTGTATGCAATAGCACATGCCACTCACAATGCAGTGTGTGAGGGAAAAAATGGCTATACTCAGTGTGACAAACATACTATATTAAAGCCCAAAGAGGTATAGTCAAGAAAAATAAAATCTCTGATGTTTTTTTATTGTTCTTTTTTTTATTTAAGGCACGCATCCCCAAAGTCAGTCCTTGACGGCCGCTGTCCTGCAGGTTTTAGAGGTTTCCATGCTCCAGCACAGCTGAGTTTAATTACAAGCTGATTAGCAGACCTTTGCTCAACTGCAGTCATCATAATCAGCTGTGCCAAAGCAAGGAAACCTCTAAAACCTGCAAGACAGTGGCCTTCAAGAACCGACTTTGGGGATGCCTCATTTAAGTTTAAAGAGTAGCTATAAAAACATTATCTTTAGAAATGATTGATTCCTTTTTTATATCACAGATTTTCAGTGAATTAAAGAAAGTAAACTTTTCAAGGAATGGTTACCATGTGTCATTTGATGTTAATGGAGATCCCACAGCTTTCTATGAGCTTGTGAATTGGCAGAAAAGTGAAACTGGTGTTATTGAACCAGTAACGGTTGGCTACTATGATGCATCACTACCTGTGGGCCAGCAGTTCAATATCAATGGCAAATTGACCTGGATGGAAGGTGGCACAAAAGTAATTAGCCTAATATAAAGGGTTTATCAAATGAAAAAAAAAAATGGTTATAAATGCATGAGCCAAATGTTAAACAGAAATCAGTTTAAACAAAACAAACTATATTTTCTCTGTGCTTCTTTCAGGTACCAGTGTCAGTGTGCTCTCAAAGTTGTCCTCCAGGAACTCGTAAAGTGTTACAGAAAGGAAAACCCATCTGCTGCTATGATTGTATACCTTGTCCTGAAGGAGCGATCAGTAACATCACAGGTTAAATCTAATGTTTTAATGCATATTTGCATGCAAAACCTTAGACATGAAAATATGCTAATCTTTTTTCTTAGATTCTCCTGACTGCTTCTCATGTCCTGAAGAGTCCTGGCCCGATTCAAAAAGGAAGTCCTGCATCCCAAAACCTGTTGAATTTCTTTCCTTTGGAGAAGTCCTGGGAATTATTTTGGCTACTGTATCTGTTAGTGGTGCATTTTTGACAGTTACTGCAGTCGCTGTTTTCATTCATCACAGAACGACTCCAATTGTGAGAGCTAACAACTCTGAGCTGAGCTTCCTGCTGCTCTTCTCTCTGACTCTGTGTTTTTTATGTTCATTAACATTCATTGGAGCACCTTCTGAGTGGTCCTGCATGCTGCGGCACACAGCATTTGGCATCACTTTTGTTCTCTGTATCTCCTGTGTCCTTGGGAAAACTGTTGTGGTTCTAATGGCCTTTAAGGCTACACTTCCAGGTAACAATGTCATGAAATGGTTTGGTCCTCTTCAGCAGAGAGTGACTGTAGTGTGTCTTACTTTGATTCAAGTTATAATTTGCACCTTGTGGTTAGTACTGAGTCCTCCATTCCCAATTAAGAATCTAAACACCTGTAAGGACAAGATCATCCTAGAATGTGCATTAGGCTCTGCTGTTGGTTTCTGGGTTGTACTTGGCTATATTGGCCTTCTTGCTGTTTTTTGCTTTATATTGGCTGTTCTTGCTCGGAAACTACCTGATAATTTCAATGAAGCAAAGCTGATCACATTCAGCATGTTGATATTCTGTGCAGTCTGGATCACCTTCATCCCAGCATATGTCAGCTCTCCTGGAAAATATACAGTTGCAGTGGAGATATTTGCCATTTTGGCCTCTAGCTTTGGTCTGATGCTGTGTATATTTGCTCCAAAGTGTTTCATCATTGTGTTTCAGCCAGAAAAGAACACCAAGAAATATTTAATGAATAAGACTTGATTCCAAAAGGTTTATCTCCAAGTTCGTCAAAGTCTTTATAAATATTGTGTTTCTGAAGAATTGGAAAAAGGAAGACTTTTAAAATGGTAATGTGATTGCAAATATATTTCTGCTTTTTCTTCTCCATTTTAGCTTTCTTTAACTTTGGGCAGATCTATATGTATAATTTAGGACACAATTTAAAATATATAGAGTATTGTTTTGAATATATAAACCATCCACTGAACTTAACTTATTCTTAATGGTTGTCATCCTTACTAGCGGAATGCTTTCTTTAAATAAAATGCTAAATAATAAAATGTCAGTTGTCTTCTCTGTGTAGGGGGTTGGAGAAGCTGTAGGAGGGATTCCTGCCAGGTAGTGTGTTGGCAGCATTGATGAACTTGGCGTTATGTATGTGACCAGAGTGACATGTGCATAAAAAGTAAATGTATCCTAGCCCTAACAAGATATGTTACACTTCACAGTACCAGCTGTCAGTAAATAAAAGCTTCACTTCATCTTAAATCTGAAGTTTTTTTGTTTTCTTTCTGCACATGATTTCATGTCGCAGGTTTGTGGGAGACCTAGAATGTTGTGCTACAGTCAGTTTCAATCTATGTTTAGTGTATATATCACAATTTAGGCAAAATATAAATAAAAAAAAAATACAGAGGACATGACCCCGTTGTCCTAGGAAGAGTCACAGGCATTCCCCTCAGCACATTGTTTCTATCTAAATCGGCACCATGTCGGCACACTGAATGTTTGATTAATTCAGTTGTGTTTTTAACCTATTCTCATCACTCTTCTGTCTTCTGTAATTCATCATGCCAAATGGTTTTTATACCACGATCCCTTCTATCATTCTTCCCATCACTCATCCTATCATTCATCCCAGCAATCATCCCCTCATTCATCCCAGCATCATCCCCTTATTCATCCCAGCAATCATCCCATCATTCATTCCCTCCTTAATCCCATCGCCATTTACCTCACCTCACCATCTCTTCACAAACTTTTGGTAGGCCTTTGCGGCAATTGGCCCAACTTTGGTAGTCCTTCGTGGCAACTAGCCCTCTTTTGGTAGGCCGTCGCGGCAACTGGCCCTGGCCTTCTTTTAGTAAGCCTTCGCGACTCATCTCCTCTGTTACTCCTCCTGATGTTCTGCTTTTCTTAGCTTTCAATTCAGTCTCTGCCTTCTTAGCATGCTGTCGTTTAGGCCTCAACCTCTGCATTTTTTTTGGGGGGGGAAGCCCTATTCTTTGCTCCTGTTCATGCATATCAATCAAAATTAAGCGCTGTGTTTCCTTTCCGAGGTCTGAGCGCCAAAGACCAAGAAATTGTATCAATAAATTTCTCCTAATTGTATTTTTTCTTCGTGTAAGTTTTTCAGATTGAAATGGAGCCTAGGTGGAAGTTCAACTGAAGAAACTGACTCTTACATCCACCTGCGACACAGCCAATCAGTTTTAAACCACACCTCCGCAAAAGTCAATCGTCATTCAAAGTTCATCCTAAAAGGCCTCCGATCCACCTGTGTGTTCCTGCGCACAGGCTGTGGATGCAATGTGTGACTTCATTCAGATGACACAGTTTCAACCCACCTCTAGCCCCTCCACCACCATCGCACCTAAAGCTTCATCAGTGTTATTCCTCCCATGACACTGATGATGATGATGTCCGGCAGAAGACCGCCATGTTGAGCATGGTTCTGCCAGAGGTTTTTTCCCAATGGGGAGTTTTTCCTCTTCACTGTCGCTTCATGCTTGCTCGACATGGACAGGTTCTCTCAACCTGTGTTATCCAGCTGAACTTCAATCTTCCAGGTCCCTGAGTGAAGATCTGGTATCAGCTCAAGGTTGATATGATAACCACATGACATTGCCAATAAATACACAGCTTTGTACCTTATTTTAATTTGCAAAAATCAAATTTTATATTCAGGACTTTTATTCTTGAAAACCAGGCCTCTCTGATAATACAGTTGAAGAATACAGCTGACAGTGACTGTCTGTTTTATTGCGTCAGTGCCTCTAGTGGCAAAATAAAGTATTACAAGAAAAAACAGAAAAATTTGCCTTTGATTTTTTTCAGAAAATAAAACGAGGAAAAAAAACTTTCAAGCTTTTCTTTTCCAGATTTTGGCTTTGTTTAAAATTCTGGGCTGCATCCTCCAAGGACGCGGTCTACGTAGACTGGATCCTTCGAAGTCCATGAAATTCCTGGGCTGCATCCTCCAAAGACGCGGTCTACGTAGACTGGATCCTTCGAAGTCCATGAAAATAAAGAGACCGGAAGTGTTTTGGCTGTGAATTCGAACAGGTCTACCCTTCAGCGGGTTTTACCTCCGTATGCTCTGTTGCTTAGCAACCGTAAAAGTTGACACACAAAGCAGGAAAAGAATGAAAACCAAAGTTTTAAAAACTGTTTGTTTATTTATTTATTTTTTTACTATAAAGTGAACAAAGAATACACTCACAAGAATCCAGAGTGGAATAAAGGTTCCAACCACCGGAAGCAGGAACAAAAAAAGCAAATGTAATGATAGAAACCTTAGTCAGTTAAATAACATGCTGCTGTCATTTTGCACATCTCTCATGTTGCTGCTATTTTCAGATATCCATTACTGTAAAAATGTCCGTAGCTGCATATTTATTCTCCAGTTTTATATTGTTAAAACACTTTACAGAATTGTATTGTTTATATTTTAACTCTTCCCTATTATTTTAGTCTTATACATTTTTCTAAGGTCCACATTTGTGTGACCATTTTCAATAATCTTTCTGCTGCTGTAAATTTGCCCATTGTGGGACAATAAAGGGATTTTCTATTCTACTGTATAAAAGGGGTTAGACATATATAAGTAAATCTAAACAATGTATGTATAAAAAATATATCTGCAAAATCTCTAATATTCAACAACAAAAATACTTAGTTAAGCATATTGTGCAAAACAGCAATAAAAAATTAAACTCCTATCAGATTTACAGTCCCCACACTGCAGATATATTAGAATCTGTCCTTAAATTACAGCCAAAACCATTTACACAGTAAACTATAGATAAATCAAACATTACCACCGCTTATCTGACTCAGTAACCATTAAAACAACTATTTTCATTCATTTCAGACTGAATTATTCACAGACTTGTATTATATTAAACTCAACTTCCAATTTTCACCACTGTTCCGTGCCAAGTAACATTTCCTCTGATCACGGAGCAATAAATCCTGGGTAAACCAAGGATACCGAGGATACCTCGGACCCGTTCTTCAAATTGGGCAAAAAGAAGGACGCATTTTAAGGCCGCATAATGAGGACTCTTGGAATCCGACCAGACCTCGGTGCCGCGCTATGATGTAATCGTCCTTCGAATCTGGCCTTCTAAGGACGTAGCCCAGGATTTCGAACAAAGCATTTGTTTTTCTGTTGCCTTTCAGGGCTTCCATACTTCTCTGTTGTTCCATTTGTAGATAACTACAATAAGATTCTTCCTGATCAAAATCACACTTCTAGACCTAACTGTAATAATATTTTTTTCTAACCTACGTTTTTGTAGCAGAAACAGAATTTTAGGAACTAGAAAAACAAAAGTATCCTAGTAAGAATTAAGTTTTATATATCTAGAAATGTTTACACATTTTAATTGGCCATTTTGACATTTATCAGCTGACTGAAAATGTATTTATGATATCTGAAAAACATTTTTCATAGTTAAAATAATACAAAAGTTGACCAGTAATATTAGGAATATGGAGATCTGAAATTAATTTATATACATCCGGAATGTTTATTCTAGATGTGGAGAATGTCATTTTGTTTGAAATGGTCATTTAGCCAAAGGAAATTTTTTTTTTTTTTTTTTTCAGATATCAAGAATACATATTCAGAAAAACTAGTACAATAAAAAAGGCTTGCCATAGATTTTGTTACCGTGAAAATATTATTTCTTGAATGGTAGTAGATAGAGGTATCTATTAAGGTGAAATCCTCTGGCAGCAGGTATAATTAAAGTCTAAAAACATTTTAAAATATAGAAGTTGCGGATCATCTCATGCGTCCCTCCTGATGTTGATTCTGTCTTCTTTTACACAGTAAATAAGTGGCCATTTGCAGCCGTACTTCAGATGTTATTGTCTCAATAGGTAGCAGTTATAAGCAGCTATGAGTACCATAGAATGGGTTCAGATTGTGTCAGTAGGCTCATTAGGTTGTTATCATTGAGTGAATCCTAATCCTAACCATAAAATAACTCTTTTTCCCCATGGAATTAATTAATCTGTTTATGTGTAAAGTGAAAATTATTTCAGTAGTTCTTCGTGTACTGTGAACATAAATGAATATAAATAAAATGATCCGCATCTCACTCATATTAAACAAACCAAAAACAAGTAATCTCATGCCCTGTCCACGAAGTTGTAGAATCCTCTGCCTATGAATATTCAATTCTCTGTGAAAAAGTGCCAATCGTTCTTTCATAAGATTCTTGTCAAACAGACATGCAGTGTTTGCTTTTAAACCCTAATTTGTGTAACGAACCTTGTGAATTATATATTTCTTTTTTTATGCACGAACCTAAAACAAAAATCTGACTAAATCAGGAAGTAAAACAGCGCGATTGGCAGTAGGAAGAGCGGAGACAGAGGACACTCCGAGTTTACTGAACAAAACCTGCTACCGACCAGGTTAGCTCTTGGGAGAATGTTACTACAGTGACTGAAACTTCTCTTTAGATCTTAGAATATTTTAGATGTTTAAAAACGAATAGTAGGGGACTAGCCAAGACTAGCCAAGGACCAGCCAAGTGCCCATTAAGGAAAGTGGGGAAATTTTGAATGGCTACTACTGTCCTACTACTCTCCTCGTAGTTTTTTCATGTGTGTTTCCCCTGATGTCTTCTAGGTTTTGGTTTTCTGTATTTTGTTATTTTGCCACAATTGCCACCTTTTTTGAATTATTAAATCTGCAAGAAACCCCTTCTGCTTCATGCATTCTTTCTCTGCATTTGGGTTCTCCAAAACCTCCACGTAACCCAACATCTCAGATCATGCAGATCTTGTCTCATTCAGTTTTCCTTTTAATTCCTCTTATTTTATTAAAAATGAGGAACTTTCATATATCCAAACTGAGTGGTAGAAAAGTAGATTTACGCCCGGAAGTCAATGCTTACAGAGCACAACCATAGAATAACAAAGCAACTTATAACTCTGCTTTCAACTATCAGAAGATATTAACTAAAGATCACCAATCAGTTCTAAAAACATCTTTAGGCAAACCCTTGTTCATCCCTGGAGAACCACTGAACCAGTTTAGCACCTTAAAGGAATAGTACACCCAAAACATGATTAGCCTTCATTTTCTACTCACCCCCATGCTGCACAACACTCTGGAGTACTTTATTGATATCTCAAATGCATCTGGAGATCTGGGAGACTTCTTGCTGTCTGCTGACATTCAAATAATGGAGGTCTACGGTGCCCGAGACAGAAAGGTCCATAAAAGTCCACAAAAAACGTGTCAATATTCCTCCACACTGCTCGTCCAATATATTCCAAGTGTCCTGAGTGGGTAGCATCCAGAATTTACTCAAAACGAAGTCATTTAGAATGTTTTTAGAGCATAAACAGTAGTGTATAGGATTTCCTGAAAGCGCGTGAACGTGCAGGCGCGCGCTTTCAGGAAATCCTATACACTACTGTTTATGCTCTAAAAACATTCTAAATGACTTCGTTTCGAGTAAATTCTGGATGCTACCCACTCAGGAAACTTAGAATACATTGGACGAGCAGTATGGAGGAATATTGACACGTTTTTTGTGGACTTTTATGGACCTTTCTGTCTCGGGCACCATAGACCTCCATTATTTGAATGTCAGCAGACAGCAAGAAGCCTCCCAGATCTCCAGATGCATTTGAGATATCAAAAAAATACTCCAGAGTGTTGTTCAGCATGGGGGTGAGTAGAAAATGAAGGCTAATCATGTTTTGGGTGTACTATTCCTTTAAAAGGAATTTTTAATATTTCTTTTTGATTTTATCTGACTCTCTTTTACCCATGGCAGCTGCAACCAATGGTCTGTCTCACTTTTTGTTCATTAGCTTGATTTATGTTATATTTCCAGTCCTCATTTTTAGTAAAGCAAAACACAACAAAGCCCTTTTTTTAATAACCTGGACACGAACCTTTTATCACAATGATCAGCCCAATTTAAATAAAATCAACCAACTAACAAACTTACCATAACACAGGGCAGCTGCGACCAGTTGTGATAACAAACTTCCTCGTCTTTTTTTAAAATTGGTGTGCTCTGTCCTCATCTATATCTTAACAGCTGCTAACCACCTAGTGTCATGATCGGTTCACTAATGGAGACCCAAAGATGCAGAACACCACTGACGGACACAGGATGAAAAGTTTAACAAGTTTATTTGCACAATCACACTGAATATGCAGAAGGCTGGTTCGGGCCTGGATTCTGGTTTCACCGGAGTCTGCGTGAGAGACAGCACAGTTAAGGACTGTTGACGGGGTTTGGTTTCCAATGATGCACAGATAGTACCTTGAGGGTTCTTGAGGTTCTCTTTGGGAGAGTCACTGTTGGTTCTGGAGAAGGATTTGGTAGCAGAGTCCGTTAGCTGCTCCAGCGTCTCACGTCTAGTTTGAGCAGACCTTGGCGTTGGTTTCCCAGCTCTAGCCCAGAGCTGCTTGGAGGTTGTCTGAGAATCTTCAGGGTTTGGCTCTGAGGGTCGGCTCGGCAGGTTAGCTCTTCCAGAGCTTTCACGGAGGAAGCACGAGTTTCCTAGAGGCACAGAAACAGAGGTTAGCATCCAACTAGGGATTAGAGTCATGGAGATAATCACTGAGATCAAGGCTTTAGCGCTGACCAACTGGAACAACACTGCGGCGTTGAGGCAAGGTCTGAAGACAGCTTATGTAGTGGAGCCTCTGATGATCTTGATGAGCTGCAGCTGTGCAGGAGGCTCCCTCAGAGGATCCACGGCGGACTCTGCTGGAGAAAGATGGGATTTTCTCCAGCTCCCAACACCTAGCTAACAACTGTTTCTGTGTACAGCATGCTAAAGTGTTCTTTCTGCCGTATTAACAGTCTACACAAAACATTTACCCCCTCATTCATAAAACGATAAAATCTGGGACATTTCTAGGGACGGCTTAGTCGGGGACAGGTGGTCCATGACGGGGACTGTCCTAGAAAAATCAGGGACATCTTGTATCATTATGATTGACACATGGACATTCTGCCAGGAAACAACGTCTGCAGCATTTAAACTCTGTGCGGGTTTCCTCCTTTTCTTGCAGGTGTTACATCGAGCCGCGTTCCACCGTCAGATTCGGTTTCCCCTGCATCTCCGCACTTTGCAAGCGGCAGAAAACGTGCATGCTTGCTGAAGCCAAAATAAGCCACAATAAATGATTAAGCCACAAATGAGAACATGAGTAAATGTATAAAGCCATGTTGATAATATAACAATTTGCATGAATAAAAAACTTATAATAATAATAATAAATCGTCTTAAACCAAAGCAAATTTAATGTCAGTTAATGGCAACCTATTTAGATTTTAAAAATAAGGCAATTCATCATAATAAGTATAAAGATCACTGGGTAATGACATCTTTTTTTTTTTTTTTTTTACATCATCCTTTGTGCACTAAAGGAGACCAATAAAAAGACACTTGCACACATTCACTCTTGAAGAATGGAGATTGGCCTGAGATCAGCAGTGAGTTTGTTCAGTCTGGTTACAGTAGTTGCGTTACACGGGTCTCTAGATGATGAAAAAAGAATAATTCAATCTACTAATGCTTTTGCTGGTACTGATGCCAGCGTTGAGACTTCACTGGCAAAATGTACCCTGCAGGGTAATGCACGACCTCCTGCATTTTCCATGGATGGAGAATTCTTAATTGGAGGTGCTTTCTTCATTCACTACCAAATGGAGACAGTAGTAAACAACTACACAACAAAGCCTAAGCTTCCAAAATGCACAGGAAGGTTGGTAAAATGAAGAAGTGCCACAAAGTATTTGTAAATTTGCTATCTTTAGAAAACATCTTGTTAAGATTGATAGTGTATGCATTTGTGTAAATTTAACTGAATGTCAAGAATAATATATTTAGTTTGTTCAAATAAAAAAGGTTATTTAATAAAGTCTAAAAAATTGACATATTAATGGTTTTTCAAGGGACTTCTCATATTCTGTTTTAGAATTGTTAATTCTCACATTGTTTTTGTTGGCTTAACTATGTGAGCTAGTAGTACATAATGTCGTTTGCTTGGTAAACCTCAAGACTCTCTTGATTTGGTTCTTTGCAGCTTCAATGCCCGGGATCTACGCTTCTCTCGAACAATGATTTTTGCAATTGAGGAGATAAACAACAGCACAGAGCTGCTGCCTGGCATGAGACTTGGTTATCAGATTTATGACACATGCTCTGCTGTGCCTGTGGCTGTGCATGTTGCATTTCAGCTAACAAATGGTGAAGACCCTGTATTTTACAAGGAAAGTAACTGTTCTCAGTCTAGTGTGGTGATAGCAGCTGTTGGAGACTCTGGGTCAAGCCCATCTATAAGTATGTCACGTATCATTGGGTCCTTCAATATCCCTCTGGTGAGAAAATAGTTTCTTTTTTAATAAGTAAATCTGAAATTACCCACAATGTATTACTTATTTTTTATATTTGCTATAGGTAAGCCACTTTGCCACTTGTGCCTGCCTGTCTGATAAACATGAATACCCAAATTTTTTCAGAACTATTCCTAGTGACCATTACCAAGCTGCTGCTCTGGCAAAGCTGGTGAAACACTTTGGCTGGACTTGGATAGGAGCTATCTATTCAGACTCAGATTATGGAAATTATGGCATGGCAATTTTTCTCGAGACAGCACGCAGGGAAGGGATTTGTGTTGAATACATGGAATCCTTCGATTGGACCTACCCGCAGAGCAAGATCCAAAGAGTTGCTGATGTAATCCGGAGGTTTCTGTGTATCCATCATTCTTTATATATTATACAAATTATTATTGCCTTTTGATCAGTATTGAATCAAAAATACAACTAGTACCTTATCAAGATTAAGATAAAAAATTTATTAATTATTTTGAGATAATTCAATGATTGTCTTTTCAGGTCAACAGCAACGGTTGTTGTGGCATTTGCAGCTCCTGGAGATATGAAGATCCTCTTGGAAGAGCTTGCACGGCAGCTGGTTCCATCACGTCAGTGGATAGGAAGTGAGGCCTGGATAACTGACCCAAATTTGATGAGCTTCAGTTTCTGCACGGGTGCCATTGGGGTTGCCATCCAGCGATCTGTGATCCCAGGTCTGAGAGAATTTCTTCTGGATCTCTCTCCCTCTGAAGTGGCTGCCTCTTCGGTGCTTACTGAGTTCTGGGAGGATGCATTTAACTGCAGTTTAACAAAGAGTGAGAAAATGTTCTTTCATCCTTCCCCTTTTTTTTATATGTAAATGTAAATTCTAAAAACTTAGAACTCTGTACGTGAAATTTACTTATTGTCACAATTTTTCTGGACAAATTTAAAAGAATGTTAACTACTTGATTACTGTTAAACTTCAATTGTTTTTTTTTTTAGCTTCAAACTTAAACAAGCAGCAGTGTGATGGAACAGAAGACATAAAAACCCTTAAAAGCCCATACACCGAAACATCTCAGCTTAGAATTTCTAACATGGTTTATAAGGCTGTGTATGCAATAGCACATGCTATACATAACGTATTGTGTCAGAAAAAAAATACAACTGTACAGTGTAACAAATACATCAGACTGGATCCAACACAGGTCAGTTTGAATAATAGGTGGCATGAAGAGTTTTACTTACAACCTGAGGATTACTTTAAATCGCCAGTGATTTTTTTTTCTCTCTTTTTTCTTTACTTCAAAGGTTTTAACTGAACTTAAGAAAGTAAGCTTTTCCCAAAATGGCTACCATATTTCATTCGATGGTAATGGAGACCCTATAGCTTTTTATGAGCTGGTGAACTGGCAGAACAGTGAAAGTGGACTTATTGAGCCGGTAACAGTGGGATACTACGATGCATCACTGCCAATGGGCAAACAGTTTCATATCAGCAGAAAACTAACCTGGCTTGAAGATGCCAAACAAGTATGTATCTTAATGCAGAGGATGTGAATAGGGTAGGACAGCATCCTTGCCTGGAAATAGATTAAATGTTGTTTTCCCTCTGGCTCTATGACAGGTACCGGTGTCAGTGTGCTCCAAGAGTTGTCCTCTAGGAACCCGTAAGGTGTTGCAAAAAGGAAAACCCGTGTGCTGTTATGATTGTATACCATGTCCTGAAGGGGAGATTAGTAATGTGACAGGTGGATCTATTTTCTATATGTAAGTTACTATGTTAAAAAACTTCTTTAATAATGGCTGTTTTTGATCAATTCTTTAGATGCACCTGACTGCTTCCTTTGTCCGAGAGAGTTCTGGCCCAATCGAGGCAGAGATGCATGCTTTCCCAAACCTGTGGAGTTTTTTTCTTTTGACGAAGTCCTGGCAATCATCCTCGCTATATTTTCTGTTTGTGGTGCCTGCATAGCCATCATAACAGCAGTGATTTTCTTTCATCAAAGGGCAACTCCCATTGTCAGAGCTAACAACTCTGAGTTGAGCTTCCTGCTTCTCTTTTCCCTGACTCTTTGTTTCTTATGTTCATTAACTTTCATTGGAGCACCCTCTAAGTGGTCCTGCATGCTGCGGCACACAGCATTTGGTATCACCTTTGTTCTCTGTATATCCTGTGTTCTTGGAAAAACTATAGTTGTTTTAATGGCTTTTAAAGCAACACTTCCAGGAAGTAATGCTATGAAATGGTTTGGTCCCCCACAGCAAAGAATAACTGTAGTGTCTGTCACCTTCGTTCAAGTTATAATATGCACTTTATGGCTGATTTTGAGTCCCCCTTTTCCAGTGAAAAATCTAACCACCTACAAGGAAAAGATCATCTTGGAATGTGCATTGGGCTCTAATGTAGGTTTCTGGGCTGTGCTTGGCTACATTGGCCTGCTGGCGATTTTTTGCTTTGTTTTAGCTATTTTTGCTCGGAAACTTCCAGACAATTTTAATGAAGCCAAGCTAATTACCTTCAGCATGTTGATATTCTGTGCAGTCTGGATAACTTTTATTCCAGCATATATCAGCTCTCCTGGAAAATTTACCGTGGCTGTTGAAATATTTGCGATTCTAGCTTCCAGTTTTGGACTGATAGTCTGTATATTTGCTCCGAAGTGTTTCATTATTTTGTTTCAACCAGAGAAGAACACAAAGAAATATTTAATGAACAAAAAATAATGTAAAATTGTCTAAGGAATGAAATCATAACAAAATGTAGCACATGGGATATCAAGGCACTTGTCAAACTTTTTGAACTGCATAGTTTCATTTAATAAATGTCTAAAATATTAAAATAATAGTTTTGAGCAAATCAACTGCATACATTTGATTTTTTTCTGTTTGTCTGTTTTTGTCTGGAAGGCAAAATAGGGCACATATGGTCACATTTGGATTAAATGGTTTGTCAATAGCAATGTCTTAGAGAAATTCAGAGTTACCCATTGTAAGATAGGACTAAGTGTATCACCTGTAGGACAACCAGGAACAGCAGCCCAACCAAAATTGCTCTTCTGGATCATGTGAAAGCTGGACAGAATGCCAGGCAAGATGTCGCTACTGTGCAAAGTAGCAATAAGTAAAATTTGTAAAGCCGAAATTAGAATTAAATGCTGTAAAATCCTACGAAATCTTTGCAAGAAACTTTAATCTTGGTAATAAATCAGGGAGCTTTTCAACTAACCTGCTTAAAATAAATACAGAAAAAAAAAATTTCAGCTGTTATAGACTCAACAGTAAAAATTTAAAACTATATATGATCCAAATAATATAAACAGCTGTTCAAGAGACTTATAAACCTCTATACTTATCAAAAATTAACCCATCAGATTGTGACATTGATGTATTTTTAAACAAGGTAATTCCTAAATTATCTGATAATCAGGCGACGGCCCTGGATTCATTGCTAACAACAGTTGAACTGCAAGAGGCTGTCAAAGAGATGCCCAAAGAAAAGGTTCCAGGCCCTGATGGACTTCCAGAAGTATTGTATAAAGAATATTGGAATATTCTGGAACAAACATTAATTAGAATACATTTCAAACAAAAAACTAAGGAGAAGGGCAGACTTCCACCAAATATGGATTCTGCTAATTATTCTCCTGCTAATACCAGATAAAGATCCTGACCATCCCACCAGCTATCGACCCATATGGCTGATTAATGTTGACCTTCAAATAATTTGTAAAGCTCTTGCCAAGCATTTAGAAAAAGTAACCCCAATTTAATCCACTCAGGTTAAACTAGCTTCATGAAGGGAAGGCCTGCATCTACCAATGTTTAGACCATTCCTACAGTGAAAACATTAAAACCAACACATTATAACTAGTTAAAAAGAAAGTGTTTTATAAAGTTAATTAGAAGTATTTATTTGCATCCCTATGTAAATTGGCAATGGTAACGGTTTTATAAATTGGTTATAAATTCTATACAGCTCCCCAAGGGCAAATAACAAAACAAGAACAAATAATTAAACCTCTTCTAGCTTTAATCTGTGGAGGGGCACTAGGCAAGGATGCACACTCTCTCCCTCATTGTTTGCTATCTGTATTGAACCACTAGCTGCAGCAAATACCTAAACCAGTTATATTACCGTAAATGTATTGAACGCAAGAACATAGAACATAAAGTCAGTCTTTATGCTGATGATGTATTACTGTTTTAGCCATCACTCAAAAACTTTGCTTTCTCGAGTATTTAAATTGTTAGAATTTACGCAAATTCAATGCAATTTGTGCCACTTTAATATATTTATTGCCCACCCCAGCGGGGGTGGTAATTATGTTATTTATTCAGATAATATTCAGACCGCCGTATAACATTTATAAACACAACATGCTGCTGGCTGTGTGAATCAAGCTCAAATCCCGGTCAAACAGATAACTATGCACTTATATAGAATAAAATCACCACAACTTCTATTCAAAATATAAGAGTTTATTTAAAAAAAAAATAATTGAGCTCCAAGTCAAGCATTTTGCATTTAAAAAATCTTGACTAAAACTATTGAAACTCAGCTAAACTAAGGTATCATGTACAAATTAGTAAGAAAAAAACATAATAAATTAAATGATGCAATGATATCACAGTTTAGCATGGATTTTGTGTTTGAGAACTTAAGTTTATGGAACATCTGATCAAATTAGATTTTAACTAATTTAGAGCAATTGGAATGTTTTCAAACCAATTCACAAAGCAACTTTAAAAGGTGAATAAGACATTATTTGGCAAATAATGTTTAATTAAATGATTTGATTAATCAGGAATCAGGAGCCTTTAGTTAACTGATTTTTACTTTCTTTGAGAGAGCGACACATTAGCAGACATGCAGATTCTGATAAAATTTTGTTCATAATTTGGTCATCAAAATGTAAAGAGCATATGCACATTATATTAGTGTTTAAACCCTTAATGAAATAAAGCTTATAAGCAACAGCTCAAACACATTAGCATAGTGAACATTTGGTCCATATTGTTAGTGTGTTTCTACTCAAATGTGACATTAAATTATCAAGAATCATAAAGACAGAAAGAGACACAAACCCCCTTTCTTCAGAAGTGTCAAGTTAGAGTGAGCTGGGGGAGGGATACAAAGGTAGACGTGAATTTCAAAGCAGTCACTGATGGGCAGGACCTCTACCTCAGTGAATATTGTTGAGATAAAACATGGACAGTCCTACATATAAGTGAAGTTTCCAAAAGCCCCCCAATATACAACTGCAGTCAGGGAATAAAAATATTTAGGTATCAACATCTCTCAGAAACTGGTGCATTTAATAAAATTAAACCACATCCCAATGTCAGACAGTTCCGTGCATTGCTATGCAATGCAACATCCTTTTTCTCAATTTTGGTCAGTTTATATATTTAGAAACATTTTTAGTGCAAAGTATTTACATATTATACACTGCTGGCTTTAGCAGACTGTCCATGTTTTTCTTTTTTACAAAGGAGACTTCATTCATTTAGTGATATAGCAGGGGAGTGGCAACTTATAGTGGTTAGGGCATTGCTCTAGGAATCCAGAGGTTCTGAGTTAAAGCCCCGCTCCCCACAGCCTCCACTCTGGGTTCCTGAGCAAAAACCCTAACCCACACTGCTCCCCGTGCGCCTCAGAATGGCACCCCACTGCTCCCAAATGGGTCTAATGCAAAGTGAATTTCCCCATTGTGGGACAATAAAGGGATTTACATTTACATTTACAACCCAGTCACATTGACACAGCTGGGTATATGCATGTATTTAGTATCACTGGACTTATCACAACCCTATCATTCCATTCTGTTACATTCCCCAGTTAACACACATACAAATGTTTGGCATGTCAGCTTATTCACATCAAGAAATTCACATTTTCAATAAGGTAAAGCACTTCCCTAACTACAAGTGTGCAAAGTTTCAAAGCATTAAGAGCTAATATCTTTAATCTACATAAGCTTATACCTCTTATTGTGTGTATATATATATATATATATATATATATATATATATATATATATATATATATATATATCACACCGCCCAATCACTGAGAAACACAGGTAAGTGACCACGATCATCTGAACAGGAGATGATCTTTAGAGTGAATAATTTACCTGGTTTAGCCTTTCAGTCCATCCTCTCAACCATAGGCAGAATAATAAGCCAATGCACTGCGAATAAGAGGTGACCTTGAACCATCCATAGCATCCCCCATGCAGCAACCGCACTAAGCAGGCTGGACTCCGATCCAGGACAGGGATTCAGATCAGACTTAAGTAGTACTGGAATCCAGGAGGCCGCATTCCGGTCAGGGGTTCCAATCCACTCAGGAACAGATAGATCCTGGCATCAGGAATCCATCAGCGTGTGAAGGCAGGTCAAGAGTCGCATGCGTTGAGTATCCAGCTCAGACAGAAACGCACCTGGGAGACAGAATCCAGCAGGAGTCCAACTGTGGTTCAGGTGAACAGATCAGGCATGGACAGACAGGGCCAGTGGGTGAGAGGGAACAGAATCAGGAAAACAGAACCCCTAGGGAAACGCTGAAATGCTCTAACTGCTGGTTATGGGATAACTCGCCTGAGGCCACTAGCTTGAGAATAAACTCCTGACTGGAACACAAACCCTGGAAATAAATCTAACCAATGAGACAGACAGCACACAAACAGAAATCAGACAGGACACAAACAGCAAACAATGATCTGGCCATGATAGCTGGAACTGAGTCCAATATAAGGGAAACCGGCAGGTGTATGAGATGAGTTATAATTAGAAGTTGAATAGAGTTAAGCAGGTGAAAGGTATGAGTTATTAAAGTGAGCTATCAGGTCATGTACAAAAGTTTCACTATATTTGTAGTAAAATCTTTAATTTTAAGAATCTATTTCATTTATGAGAGACCTTAGAGATTTTTCTGTATTTTATGTGTTGGAAATTAGGACAACCAATTCAGAACAGAGTCAGACAGACCCAAAATGAAAGAATGATTAACCAAACCAAAAGCTCCACTAAGTCAAAGAGAATAGACATTGAAATGCTATTCCCCTTATAAAAAATTTCCAGGTAATTTAATATTTTTAACCTTTCAATTTCCATGCTTCTACTAGCTATAAATCAATACTTTTAATTATGAAATAAATAGTTTTAGTTTAATTGTGAATATAGTTTACAATATTCAGTTTTTCAAGTATTTTGGACAGAAGTGTTCGGTTGATAGGCAACATTCCAGTGCTTTAAGAAATATTGACAATATCAATCACATCTTTAAGCAAGTCAGTCAATGCTTTAAACAGCTTGATAGGTAGTGTTTTAAGGCACTAATTGCAGACCCAAGTTTTTAGGCAAATCAATCCTTTTACTGAAACATATTTGCAGCATGCTATAATTTTATTTAGAATTTTCTTTTTATTTTACTGCCACCAGAGATGGGTAAGATAGTGTTGCTTCTTTGAGTATTTATAATAACAAAATCTATCAGAAAATGGAAAGCTAATGCAGTGTCTTGAAAGCTGTCTTATTAAGAATTCTAATGGACTTTATACTTTCCCAATGAATTTTATTAGATTTCTTAAAGTATCCTAAATAAAGGATGTACTATAAACATTCAGCTAAATTTTCTTTGTACAATTAGAAATCAATTAAACAACTTAAAGAACATTTTAAAGACATACAGTGGCTTACCTTTCTGAATGTTAGTAGATAAAATGGACTCTCATTTCAATCATGTTGCACTTTCTTGGTGCAGAATGTTTTCCCTTTCTAACCTTGTATTTTATTAATTTTTCTTCATTAAATATTTCTTGTTGTTCTTCTCTGGTTGAAACAAAATGATGAAACACTTTGGAGCAAATATGCACAGCATAAGTCCAAAACTAGAGGCTAGAATGGCAAATATCTCTACTGCCACAGTAAGTTTTCCAGGGGAGCTGACATATGCTGGGACGAAGGTGATCCAGACTGCACAGAATATCAACATGCTGAAGGTGATCAGCTTGGCTTCATTGAAATTATCAGGTAGTTTCCGAGCTAGAACTGCTAACACAAAGCAAAAAACAGCAAGTATGCCGATGTAGCCAAGCACAGCCCAGAAACCAACAGCAGAGCCTAATGCACATTCCAGGATGATCTTCTCCTTGTGGGTGGTTAGATTTTTCACTGGGAAAGGAGGACTCAGAACTAACCACAGTGTACATATCATAACTTGAATAAACGTAAGAATCACTACTGTAATTCTATGCTGTGGGGGACCAAACCATTTCATAGCATTACTTCCTGGAAGTGTAGCCTTGAAAGCCATTAAAACAACTATAGTTTTTCCAAGAACACAGGAGATGCAGAGAACAAAGGTGATGCCAAACGCTGTGTGCCGCAGCATGCAGGACCACTCAGAAGGTGCTCCAATGAAAGTTAATGAACATAAGAAGCACAGAGTCAGAGAGAAGAGCAGCAGGAAGCTCAGCTCAGAGTTGTTAGCTCTTACAATTGGAGTCGTCCTATGATTTAAAAAAATCACGGCTGTAATGATGGCCATACAGGCCCCAATAACAGAGCATACAGCCAGGATGATTGACAAGCCTTCGGTGAAGGAAAGAAACTCCACAGGTTTGGGGAGACACTCATCTTTCTCCATATTTGGCCAGAATTCTTTGGCACAAGGGAAACAATCAATGGAATCTAAACAGACATTTCAAGAAAAATTTTTTAATATGTGGATGTTTATGGATATAAATATACATGAGGTAAATTTGATTTTACCTGTCTTATTACTAATCTCCCCCTCAGGACATGGTATACAATCATAACAGCAGATGGGCTTTCCTTTCTGCAGCACTTTATGAGTTCCAGGAGGACAACTTTGAGAGCACACTGATTCTGGTACCTGAAACAGTGACAGAGACAAAATGTTAAAGTTTGCAAGCAGTTTTGACAAATAATTTTCACAAATTATAATCATAAAATTACTGTCTTTAAAGGTTGTTACTTGTGTCCCACCATCCAGCCAGGTAAGGTTCTTGTTGATATGAAACTCTTGGCCCTTTGGCAGTGATGCATCATAGTATCCCACTGTTACCAGTTTAATAACTCCGCTCTCACCCCTTTGCCAGTTTACCAATTCATAAAAAGCTATTGGATCCCCATTAGCGTCAAACGACACGTGGTATCCATTTCTGGAGAAATTTATTTTCTTTAATTCTTCCAAAACCTTTCAAGTAAAAAGAGCCAGAAAAAGACATTAAAATTGTCTTTTAAATTCATAATTCTTTAAAAGCTAATTAAGAAATAATGAGTAAGGAATTTGCTGCATCTGTGGACTGACCTGTTTGGGCCCCAGTTTAGTGTGTTTCTCACATTGTGTCATTGTATTTGTTTTGTTACACACTGCATTGTGAATCGCATGTGCAATTGCATATGTAGCCTTGTACACCATGTTAGTGATCCGCAACTGTGACGTTTCAGTGTATGGGCTTTTAAGGGATTTAATATCTTCAGTTCCATTACACACTCTCTTGTCTGGATCAGCACCTAAAGAAAAATAATTGGAGAGAATGATAGTTTCATCTATCGAAGTAGAAAACCCTCTAACCAAAGGGATTGTTTGCAGAAAAAGGCATTTAGGTTTTTGTATTTGTTTTTCAATTAAAAACTTTACTATAAATTTGAAAAAAATGTATATCTAGTGCATGACTTCTGTATTTACGGCATATGTGTATTTAACCCACATATCTCTGCTAATTTCTTATATCAAGCTATAATAAACATTGTATAACAAGAAATTATGTAAAACGTAAAAAGGCTTTTAAAATTAATAATAACCAATCCTCATACAACTATGTGGAGGTACTGTTTATGAGGCTAAATTTACTGAATTGTACTCCCTAGACTTAAGAGATGAAATATCTTATGAATGATTTTTCAAAAAAAGAAGAATTATTCAGATGACACAACTTACTCAACTTTTTTTTTTCTACCTGGATTACTGAGATGTATCAGGGTCTCTAACAGCATTTAATAATAATAATAAAAAAAAAAAAACTTAAAGAAGCATTTAAGGTAAATTATTTAATTTATATTAAAACTATAGCTCAAACAATCCTGTTTAAAAAGACTAAATTACGGAACTGAAACTATGCATCATGCTAAAATATATATATTACGGTATTAGGCATTAGGCTCTGCCTAGTAAAAATGATTACAAATCTTGTTTTAGTTAGTTAAATATGCTAAAAGAATAGATGCAAATTTGATATGTAATTAAACTGATCTGTTTGACAATGAAGATTTATTTTTTATAACAAAAAGAGAAAATAAAAGGTATCTGTTTGTATCTGATATGATTTCCATTTTTAGAAATGTTCTCACTTTCACTCAGGCTGCAGTTGAATGCATCTTCCCAGAATTCAGTCAGCGCTGAAGAAGCAGCCACTTCAGGCAGAGCGAGATCCAAAAGGAATTCTCTCAAACCTGGGATTATAGATTGCTGAATAGCTACTCCGATGGTTCCTGCACAGAAACTGAAGCTCATCAAGTTTGGGTCAGTTGCCCAGGCCTCGCTTGCTATCCACTGACGAGGTGGAGGAGGGTCCCGGGCAAGCTCTTTTAACAAGACATTCATTTCTCCGATAGCTGTAAACGCTAAAACAACCACAGCTGTGGATCTAAAGACACAGGAATGTATTGTCTTTAAATAACATACCGTATGCTTCACTTTTAACATATAAAAGAAACAAAAAGGCATTGACTATATAGATCATATTTGCTTTGTGATAAAACAAAAGGCATGTAAGGGAGCAATGAGCAAAAGTATATTTTAATTCTTAAAACCACAAACATACAAACCTACGGATAACATCTGCAACTCTTTGGATCTTTCTCTGTGGGTCTGTTCTAAAAAAAGATTCAATATACTCCACGCAGATCCCCTCTCTAACTGCTGCCTCAAGAAAAGATGCCATGCCATTGTTTCCATAATCTGAGTCTGAGTGGACAACACCTATCCAAGTCCATCCAAAGTATTTCACAAGTTTAGCCAGTGCATCCGCTTGGAAATGATCACTAGGAATAGTTCTAAAAAAGGTTGGGAATTGCTGTTTGTCCGAAAGGCAGGCACAAGTGGCAAAGTGGCTTACCTGCAGTGAAAAAGGTAAATTCATGTATCATCAGCTTAGGAACATTTTAGAATTTCAGATTTTAATGAATTCAGACTCCTCACCAAAGGAATGTTGAACGATCCAATGATCCGTGACATACTGATAGATGGAGTGGATGCAGAGTCTCCCACAGCAGCCATAATTACACCAGACTGTGAGCAGTTACTGCCTTTGTAAAATAAAGGATCTAGGCCATTTGTTAACTGAAATGCAACATGCGCTGCCACAGGTACCGAGACACATGAGTCATAGATCCGATATCCCAGTCGGATGCCAGGCAGCAGCTCTTTGCTGTTGTTAATTTCATCAATGGCAAAGACCATAGAACGAGAGAAACGCAGACTCCGAGCATTGAACCTAAAAATAAATGAATTGGGTAAAAGCTGGAATTTACATGAAAATATAACTCTGAAGATATTGATCATATAACAACCAAAAGAAAAGCAAATGCAAAAACAATTTGGCATTACACAAGTAGACGCAAATGCACAACAAAAATAATAAGTAAATATCTTGTCCATTTATCAAGTTTCAAATTGTATATCATTTGAAGATTTAAGGAATAATATTGATTCTTAAATGTATGTTTTAATTGATTTACTATTGCTATCATCCATATTTCATTTCTTGTGAAAAAAAGGTTTATGCAATAAATCTGATTTTCATTTCAACCAATATTACAGCAAACTTTGCAGCATGCATGCATTATACATGTAACATTCCTTTCAACCTCTCCGACTCACTAACCTCCCTGTGCACCTTGGAGGCTCCGGCTTGGTGGTGTAATTATAAATCATTGTGTAATGCTGGTAATGAATTGCGAAAACACCTCCAATGATAAAGTCTCCATCCAGAGAGAATTCCGGTGAATGATTAGCGCCCTGCAGTGTGCATTTCAAAGATGAATCTTTAGTCCCTCTTAGGCCAACCACTGACTTCAGCTCCAATAAGCTGAATGCAAATGTCAAGCCAATATAAAAGGTAGAAATCTCCATCCTTCAAAGATTTCTTGTGAATGCAGGTGTTTGTCTTGGTTTTATAACCCTCCTTCATTATACGTCAAATAATCATTCATCCCAAATATATATCTCTTTAACATGTGATCTTCAATCTCATATACAGTAAATCATTTCCACTATGTTTATCTATTTAATTTCCTTAAATTTTTTTTTTTTTTTTCTTTTTTAAAAGACTAACTTAATAAAGAAGACCAACATGTCCATTTTCCTTTTTTGTGACCCTTTTTATGAAAACATCCAGGTTTGTGAAGGATCTTGGGTTGAAGTATGTTTATGAGTATAACTGTAAGATAATTGTTGTTAACTGTTGGGTTAGAAATTCAAGACGTTTATAAGCCCAAGGGAAAAATCCCCTGGTCACTGACACCTGGTTTCTATGTGTGGTCACACATCATCTATAAATTGAAAAATATGACATTTACAATTGTGGTTCCACTTGAAAGATATTCTATAATGACTTTTTTATTTATATATATATATATATATATATATATATATATATATATATATATATATATATATATATATATATATATATATATATATATATATAATTTAATTTCTATAATGACTTTAAGTGATACAAATATATCTTTTTCTACATACCCACTTTATAACTTTGGGGCTACACTGAACCCTCTGGATGAAGCCTAAACGATGTTAGGACATCACCATCATTACCCATAATTGGTGACTTCAAAGCTGGATTTTCATCACTTGTGAAAACCATAAAACCACTGTAAGTATGCTGGTACTTCTATTTGTTTTGGCACATGGGCGTTAAGGGTGATGAGGGCTTCTTTGGTTTGCATGAGAAAACAGGCCAATGTGTAGCAGGTTATCTGTATAATGAAGGAGAAACAATGCAGGTTGCTTCAAACTCCCCTCTAGGACCTGATTTCAAATGTAGTTGATTTTGCGGCCACCTTATTGTAATGTGACTGCCTACTTGACAAAGAAGGTTGTCATATACACTTACACATTTGGACAGGGCCTATACTAAATAAATTTTTTGGAATGGTATGGCATTTTTTTCTTTGTAGTACATTCTAGATAAAGCAAATAACCTAATTCAAAATATAGTTCATTTTCCTTGGTAATCTAGAAACACAAGGAATCAATCCATCCATCTTTTGCTGAATGATGGTGTCTCTTATCGAACATATGTAATTGCAGGTACAGTATGGGCATTTAGCATAGTAATAACCAACTAGCTTTGTGTAAACATTGATTCATTTATTGAGCCAGTAATGACATTATGGACGTTATTGTCTCAGTCAATAATAACATTATGTATATTATTGACTGAGCCAAGAATGTACATAATGACATGAAGTTCACAAGATATATTGGCAGTGTTGGGCACGTTAATTTGAAAAAGTAATTAGTTATAGTTACCTCTCCCAAAAAGTAACTGAGTTACTCAGTTACTCCACAATAAAAGTTACTAGTTACTAGTAAAAGTAACTATTGCATTACTTTTGCATTTTTCGCCCCCGTTACCCCCCACCACCCGGCCCCCACCTTCTCACCGTGTGTTTCAAAAGCCAGCTGAATAGAGTGGATGACAAAGACAAGTACCTGCAGAGAGTTTTGCATTTATTGCAACTCAACGTAAATTACATCAGAGGGGAACGCTATCTGACGGGCCTATAAACCCTGTCAGATAGCGTTTCCCTCTTCTTAACATCAATAATTGGGGATGTCTAACTCTGAAATCCTGTGTGTTTGGGTTGTTATAGATACTGCAACATCCATCCATCCATCCATCCATCCATCCATCCATCCATCCATCCATCCATCCATCCATCCATCCATCCATCCATCCATCCATCCATCCATCCATCCATCCATCCATCCATCCATCCATATTTCTCCCTTTCTCCATATAGGCTAACATTTGATCATTTACACTCTCCGTAGTTCCCCTGTGGCGCAAGCACAGGGTGGCTGTTACTCGCCTTTAGCGAGCATGTGCATTTCCTTTCACTTATGTGGTGAAGCGTCCCGCCTGCGCTGTGCGGATATGCAGGGGAAACCGTATCTGATGGGGAAACGCATCTCGACATAACGCCGGTATTTTCATCTGGAAAAGGCTGTTTTGCTGCTGGACTCCTCCTCACTCTCCTTCTCTCTGTGTGTGCTGTAGGTTAACACCCGCCAGCGGAAACACTCACCTACCCAACGTAATCTCACTATACATCACCAATCTCATCCTCCCCTCTCTCATGACAAGGCGCGCACGAGTCCCATCATGAAGAAAAGGTTAATTGTGCGACCTGAGTAACGTGCAGCAACGGGGTGTCTACAATCGTAAGTGCGTTACAGTCAAAGTAATTAGTTAGATTACTCATTACTAAAACGAGGAACTGCCTGTGGGAAGTTTTACCAGCTTTGTGACTGTTTGTTCTTCTCAGCATCTCTGGTTAATCAGACAGAAAGCTACAGTGCTGATACCAGGATATACATAGCATATACAAAACAAGTCCAGAACTTATGTCCAACGACAGCCTAACTTATGCATAAGGCACGGCAGCGTAATGCCCATGAAATGATGTACAAGCCATTGTCCTACGGGGGACAACGATGCGCCCGGTCTGCATAACAAGATGTCTTTGATCGGGGTATTAACCTAGCTGCTGTTTACCAACCGCCCACAAAAAAAAAGATAAAATAAAAAGAAAAAGAAAGATGGTTTGCAGTCAAAACAGATTCAGCGTCATGTCTGCTTGGAAGTTTGTTGGTCATGGCAATGTAACAACCTTATAAACTTGGACCCAATATTCAGACAGACAGGTCAGGACAGTTTTCAAAAAGTTTTATTTTGGAAAAAAAACCTCAGCGAGCGACAGATTGTCAGCGGGGCGGATACCTGGATTTACTGCAGAGGTAGAAAACACAGGTCTGTGACTGGAATGTTGGGCTAAGCATGACTAGGAGCATGAAGTCATTGACCGTGTTCAAAGTCCAGTCCGATCCCAGACAAAAGGCAGATTGTCCACTGTTTGCAGCTGTAGCTGCTTACAGCACCCTGAGTGATGATGAGCTGACACCAAGGGAGCAACATTGTCCATAAGGAGAATCTAAGCCTAGGTCGGTCCAGTCATGACAATTGTGTTGTTTAACAAAACCCTTGACTACTGGGTTACTTAGTATGGTTCATAATGTTTACTGAGCATCAAGCACTATTCCACAACTATACAACTGACCTTCATATACAGTTCTGTGGTTCCCCCTAATGGTAGCAATCAGTATAACCCATGGCAGGTCTACAGCAACAATAACACATTGGTTTACACCACATCCTCCTTACTGGAAGTTGAAGAGAAAATGATTACTCATCTGACGCATTCTGAATCTCTGAATTCTTGGTGGTAATGCATCCAGACCCCAGCCTCCCAGTAGGCTCACTAGAGGTTTGTGGTCTGTTTCAAGTTCAAAGTGCACTCCGAGAATGAAATCACTAAACCTTTCACAGGCCCATGTCTATGCCAGTGTCTCTTTCTCCAGCTGGGCGTATCGCTGTTCTGTGTCAGTCAGCAACCTGAAAGCATACGCGACCGGCAGCCACGCTTCTGCCTTTTGCTGCAGCAGCATAACTCCCAGCCCGTAAGATGTGGCATCAGCTGAAATCTTGAGTGGGCTGTTTTAGTTGTACAGCTGGAGGACTGGCGCTGAGGAGAGTTCATGCTTCAGGTTGAAGAAAGCACGTTGCTGATCGTGCCCCCAGCACCACATATTCTTATTTGAGAGCAGGCCCCTCGATGCAGCTTATGACACCCAGACTCTCCATCCTCTCCAGCTCCTTACCCATGTGTGGCAGTGGTACTCGCAGTGGGACTTTGAGAGAGAAGGGCTTGGCGTTTTTGATGGTGTAGGGCTTCTAGACCACCCCCAGTCACAGAGTTTCGGGTATGTTGTCCTCACCGTCTCTTGGTCGATCATATCCATCCGAGCAACCAGTTTGAGTCTCACTGAAGCTGGCCTGCTCAATAGACTGACGTGTAGGTCTCTGACAATGTAAATCTTCTCCGTGATGCTCCTGTCGTTGTAGGGGAGTGTTTCGGTGACTAACCCTAGAACATTCAGCTTAGACTAACCCTAGAACATTCAGCTTAGCGCTACCTGGACCATACAGCTATTTCAGGGCTGCTTTAATCTTGTCCACAGCTCGTGAAAGTCTCCACTTCTGACACTATGTTGTGTTGTTCAATAAAACCCTTGGCTACTGGTGTACGGTTCATTACTTTTACTGAGCATCAAGCAGTATTCCACTGTACAACTATGCAAGTGACATTAATATACAGTCCCGTGGTTCCCCATAGTGTCAATATATATATATATATATATATATATATATATATATATATATATATATATATATATATATATATATAAAACCCATGACAGGTCTAACATTAACACATTGGTTTACACCTAGTGTAAATTTTAGCAGCCATTTTTAAATTTAGTTTTAGTATTAGTCCAGTTTCAGCATCGCTTGTTAGTTTTTATCACATTTAGTCGACATCATCCCATTTTTATTTTGTCTAGTTTTAGTCAACTATAAGTCAGAGCATTTTAGTCTTTATTTTAGTCCAAGAAAACATAATTTTATTTGTTTAGTTTTAGTCAACAAAAACCGTCAACATTTTAGTCTAGTTTTAGTCAGGACATAATTTTAACCTTTTACTTTTTTGTCAGCAGATAATATTTAACATTTCCTAAAACTATTTCACATTTCAACATTTTCTCATCTTTTTGATAAAAAAAAAAACAATTTTAAGGAACACATGCAGACATGGAAGATGTTCTGACAATATTTGCATATTTATTTTGAACATTGTTAAGGTTCAAAGACACAAACACAAATGCTTGCATTAAAACAAATAAAATACACCTGACAAAGGAAACAAATAAATAAAATAAAATGTCTTATGAACTTAACACAAGTGCTGGCTGTTTAAAGCTAGTTCACATAGAATAATAAAATAAGTAGAATTGAGATCAATGTTGTGAAAAAAAAACAAAAAAACTCGAACTGATACAACAAAATGCTTTCCTGCCAGCTAGTTCACATGGTATATAAAGGTACAGTATTTAAGGTGAAACAAGGCATAGCTTGCTAGTCCTGAGAGTCAGCTTTGTATTTGGTGTGGGCAATTAAGGAAGCTTGCATAGCTGGCCAGTCATTGTTTCTGGATGGCTGGTAGGTTGTTGGTGATGGAGTATCTTCAATCTGGAACAGAAATTAATATGTCAGGATAGATGCACAGCATAACAGGAATTCCAAGTGTATAAGTAGCATATAGGTCTGTTTTTTCCTTAAAAACTAAGTCTCTGTAAAAACTATATTTGACAATCCATTTCAAACTCATACAAACTGTCATGATTGGTTCTGAATCAAACCCACATGCAGAACACTACCAGGAGACAGATGAAAAGTTTAACAGAGTTTATTTAATGTTTGCACAAAATAAGACTGCGTTCAGGAAACAGGTCCGGGCTGGATTCTCAGGCGTCTGCAGAGATGACCGTTTGGTTAACCAGGTGGATAGGAAGCGTTGTTTAGTTTTCAGATTATTGCAGATCTATACCTTGGGGAGTTTCAGGCTTTCTTCTCAGAGGGGGGGAACCGGTTGGGTCCAGAGACTGTTGGTTTGACAGAGTGCTCAGCAGGTGCAGCGTCTAACTTCTGACTGTTGGATCAGGCCTTGGATTGAGGGGTTAGCTCTCCTTCCGAGAGCAGCTGGTGGATTCCAAAGTGAGATCTTCAGGTTTGGCTCTCTTGGGCAGGCAGGCAGATACAGGTTAAGCTCTCCCAGAGCTTCACACGAGAGACAGGTTTTCCTAGGAGCGACAAGACAAAGGCTGGTTAGAATTCAGTTTTCTCAAGGGGACAAAATTCAAAAACAAGGAGGCTCAGGTTCGCTAACCAAACTTAGCTAACACTGCGGCGTCGAAGAAAGGTCTGGCATCTGCTTAAGTAAAGGGTCCTCTAATGGGCTGACGAGCTCCAGGTGTGCTGGTGAGCTCCAGCCCAGAGAACCCATGGCACACTCTGCTGGGGAAAGGTGGAACAACTCCAGATCCCAACACAAACAACCTAACTATCATTTTATGCAGGAATAAATTGCAGACATTTTTATGTGTGCATGCATTTTGGTTGTATTAATATCGATGCCAATTCAAATCAAATGTTCTTGTAATAGTAATGTGCAGATAAACAGAGCAGCATTTTATGTCACCAAATAAAGACATTGGGAGTTTGCATCCCTGCAGTGGTTTCCCTAGCAATGGCTATTTTGTGTATGAAAATCTAGGTTAAAGTTGTTCTGAATTATGTGCGGCATATTATTTTTATTTTGTCTTATCCTGATAAATTGTTTCAGTTCTTTTTAGCATTTAGCAGACATAGCTGCCGAGGTCTTTTGTGTTAACTATAGTTCACTTGCAGCTCCTAGATTACATAAAGCGTCTGTCTGCTTTAATTAAACTTGCAATTTAACTGAAACTATAGTTACCCGGCCAGTATAACATATCTAAGTTAGCATAAATTTAACTTCACATACAATGCTATCAACAAGTGGCTACGGTCGCGACGTGCTAAGAAGCTAACGTAACGTAGCCAGCCTGGATACTAAATGCTATGAAAGTTAGCCAACACCAGTTAGTTTATCATTGGGACATTATAGCCGTTGATTTAATGCTACATTATAAACAACCACCACCAATCTTTCTGTTAACTTACCGTAATGCCTTTGTGTAGAACTGTGACGTGTCTCTTCAGGTTTGTTGTGTTTTTTCCAACTACCATGTGGCCACATTCCTTCCCTTCGACTAAAATCAAGCATTTGGTTTTGTTCTCCAATTCAATGAAGCGAAAATGTGTCCATATATCACGTCTCCTCTTTCTCCCGAGCTCCAGGCAAAGCATGTTTTACTTTTAACCTGTCGCTGCCTCACCGTGTATGTGTTCTGTAGGCTACTCTGTGCCGCCCGCTCCAGGTTTGAAAGTGGGTGTGTGGTGGAAGACGAGACAGGATTTGAAAAAAAAACATAAAATAATACAACCTACTCTCATTATGAGTTCGTATGAAATTGTACGAAAAGCTATGCACCGTAATTTCGTACGTTTTTTTCGTTGTATGCGCATGCGCATCTGACGCACCATTCACGAATATAGAATATAAATTACAATTAGCCCTAACCCTAACCCTAAGATATAAAACAGCAAAGAACGTAGTTAGAGACATGAATAAGTGATGATGGCACTGTTTTTCCCAGTTTTACGTCCGTCCGCGGATCTGCTTTTTTTTTTCTGTCTGCCAGCGCATGCACACTGATGTGTTTTTTTTGAGGAAAAACGTCCAAAACGTACGAAATAGTGTGCATAACTTTTCGTACGACTTCATAATGAGAATATGTTGAATAATAATATGTAATTTTCGTCTCGTCTTTGTTCGTGAACTAAAATGTCCATAGATTTTAGTCCAGTCTTTATTTATTTATTATTATTATTTATTTACCAAACTGCATTTTCGTCTCGTCTTTATTAGTCCACGAAAATTATTTCTGATTTTCTCCCAGTTATTGTTCATTAGTGGGGATTTTCGTCTCGTCTTGTCTAGTTTTCGTTTGGTGAAAAATGTGCATTGACGAAAATATTTTCGTTTAGTTTTCGTTGATGAAATTAACACTATTTACACCAAACCTTTAACTTATTCCCCATGTATTAGTATACACTGGCACACATCGCAAAATTGTCCCAGCGTGTTACAGCATGCTTCAGCATACTTCAGTGTGCTCATAACTTATATAAAATATACCCATAATTTATCCAATCTATGCCAGCATTTTGCAAGATTTTCCATACGTTTAAGGCACATGCTGGTCTAAATTGTCAAAGTGTGAAAGTGGCTTTAGAAAAAATAGTGCATTTTTTCTGAGAAATGCTGTATGAAATAGGCACATGAAATTTTGTGAGAAAAGATGCCAATCAATACAGATGACAACATAATAAGATCATACATGGAGAAGATGGATTAATAATTATTTGAATTTATTCTTCTGATATCAAAATTTCTAACATTTTAGAGGTACATTTAAGGGGTTTAAGATAATAGGTAGGAAATTTAACATCAATTTTTGTTCATTAAATATTTCTTAGTGTTCTTCTCTGGTTGAAACAAAATTATGAAACACTTTGGAGCAAATATACACAGTATCAGTCCAAAGCTGGAGGCCAAAATGGCAAATATCTCTACAGCAACAGTAAATTTTCCAGGAGAGCTGACATATGCAGGGATGAAGGTGATCCAGACAGCACAGAATATTAACATACTGAAGGTGATCAGTTTGGCTTCATTAAAATTGTCAGGTAGTTTCCGAGCTAGAATAGCTAAAACAAAGCAAAACAAAGCAAGTAGGCCGATGTAGCCAAGCACAGCCCAGAAACCAACAACAGAGCCCAATGCACATTCCAGGATTATCTTCTCCTTGTAGGTGGATAGATTTTTCACTGGGAAAGGAGGACTCAGAACTAACCACACAGTGCATATCAAAACTTGAATAAATGTAAATGACACTACTGTTATTCTTTGTTGTGGGGGACCAAACCATTTCATAGCATTACTTCCTGGAAGTGTTGCTTTAAAAGCCATTAAAACTACTATAGTTTTCCCAAGGACACAGGAGATACAGAGAACAAAGGTGATGCCAAATGCTGTGTGTCGCAGCATGCATGACCACTCAGAAGGTGCTCCAATGAAAGTTAATGAACATAAAAAGCATAGAGCCAGAGAGAAGAGCAGCAGGAAACTCAGCTCAGAGTTGTTTGCTCTGACAATCGGAGTCGTCCTGTGCTTAAAGAAAATTATTCCTGTAATCGTGGTCAGACAGGCCCCACTAATAGAGAAGGCCACCAGGATGACTGAAAGAACTTCATTGAAGGAAAGAAACTCTACAGGTTTGGGGATACAAACATCTTTTTTTGCATTCGGCCAGAACTCTTTGGGACAGTGGAAGCAATCAGGAGAATCTGAAAATAAGAGCAAAAATGTCACCAAAAATTTGATGATAATGTTTCACATAAACACTCATTAAATTCACCTGTCTGATTACTGATCTCTCCTTCAGGACATGGTGTACAATCATAGCAGCAGATGGGCTGTCCTTTCTGCAACACCTTTCGAGTTCCAGGAGGACAACTTTGAGAGCACGCTGACACTGGCACCTGAAAAACGGATAACATTGTGAGTTTGGTTCTCTTTTATAAACTGGTTTGACTAATTAGTTCAAGACCCTGTGATTTATAGTGTATAAATTAAAATAATTTGAATAATTTAAGCAGTTACCTGGGTGCCACCATCCAGCCAGGTTAAGTTCCTAAAGATTCTAAACTCCTGGCCTACTGGGAGAGAAGCATCATAGTACCCAACTGTTACCAGTTCAATTTCTCCACTATCACTCTTTTGCCAGTTTACAAGCTCATAAAAAGCCACAGGGTCTCCATTTGCTTCAAATGAAACGTTGTAACCATTTTGAATAAACTTTACTTTCTTTAACTCAGCAACAATCTAGGAAATAAAGAAACACAAAGGGAGGGGTATCAATATCAAGCAAAATAATTGTTTAAATAACCATTATATCACATGAAAAAACTTTAAGATCAACATTAGAATTTAACTAACCTTCTTAGGATCAAAATTCATGTTTTTGTTACACTTTGTCAAGCCATTTGTATTCTGACATGCAGCATTGTGAATAGCATGTGCTATAGCATAAACAGCCTTGTAAACCATGTTGGAAATTCTCAACTGAGATGTGTCGATGTACAAGCTTTCAACTGTTCTGATATCTTCAGTTCCATTACATTCTCTTCTGTAGAGATAAGTGTCTAAATAGAAATGAAAACATGCAGATTGCTCAAAGAAAAGTTGTACATGGAGCCCATTTTGCTTACCTGACAGTTATCAAGACTATTAGACTATTTTTTTTCCTTATGCCAGCCCTTCAGGGGGTGGTCATACTTTTAAAGTGGGTTTGTTGCCAAGAAAAGGAAAGAGAAACTTCCAGCTATCATACAGACCAATGCATGTAAGAAGAAATAAGCACTTTTCAAACTAAGGTTTCAATGAAGTCCTGCAATAATGGACTTTGGACAAACAAGCTTCTTTTAAATTTATAAAAAAAAAGTGAAACCCTGGAGTGAAACACCTACTGGCTTGGTCACTGCAAAGGAAAATCAAAATAAAATTGCTGTATTAGTTAAAAAATAATCACGATATAGATTTTTTGCAAAATAGTTCAGCCACCTTTTTTTATTTAAAAAACATTATAGATTTTTTTATACAGAAAAAGAACAAATGCCTTAAGATAAAGCCACCATGATAACTCCCAGCAATTAGACAATAAAGCACAAGAAATGCTGTGTTAGGATAAAATCTACACATGGTATAACTTGGACAATTTTGTCTCACACTTCATTCAGTGAAGTAACTTCTGATGGGTAGAGTAGCCACAGTTTTTATTCAAATATCATAATTAGTTTATATTAATGTCACTTAAGTAAATCTAACAGGTATGGTGACATAAAATGTCTTCCAGAAGTACTTTTTTTTTTAAACACTCAAGTAAATATCAATGAAAAAATATAACTTGTTGCTACCCACCTCTGCTCTTTCTTAGGCTGCAGTTGAACACCTCCTCCCAGAATTCAGTCAGAACTGAGGAGGCAGCCACTTCAGATGGAGAGAGATCCAGGAGGAATTCTCTCAGACCTGGGATGACAGATTGCTGAATGGCAACTCCGATGGTCCCTGCACAGAAACTGAAGCTCATTGAGAGTTGGTCAGTTACCCAGGATTCACTTCCAATCCACTGACGAGGTGGAGGAGGATCTCGAGCCAGCTCTTCCAAAAGAAACTTCATATCACCATCAGCTGCAAATGCCACAACAACTACAGCTGATGACCTGCAGAAAAATTACAAATTGATTTAAACTAATAGGCCCACCATTATTTGATTTTATGCATCCATGCATTTGGTATTAGTAAAAATTACAGGGCTCCACCTTGAAAAACATGAAAATGCTTCGTTCTCATAGCCTAAGGTAATTTTTTTTGTAATACAATTTATAAAAGGCATTCTGTTGAGTTATAGAAGACCTCAAAAGATGTTTTCTGAAACTCTACAAAAAATTTTCTTGAAAAATACATGAAACACAGGATGCAGACCTGCGGATAACATCAGCAACTTTTTTGATCTTGCTTGGTGTGTCAGTCCGATAAAATGATTCAATATACTCCACACAGATACCCTCTCTGTTTGCTGTCTTAAGGAAGGACGCCATGCCATTATTTCCATAGTCAGAGTCTGAGTGAACAGCACCTATCCATGTCCAACCAAAATATTTCACGAGCTTGGCCAGGGCATCGGCTTGGAAATCATCACTAGGAATTGTTCTGAAAAAAGTTGGATATTCTTTTTTATCAGATAGGCAGGCACAGGTAGCAAAATGGCTGACCTACATAGAAAATAACATACAATAAACATATCAGCCTTAATATCTACACAGGTACATTTCATAGTTGTATTTTCAAATTAATTTGTTCTACCAACCAGAGGAATGTTAAAGGAGCCCATAAGTCGTGAGATGCTGATGGTTGGAGTAGATCCTGAGTCTCCAACAGCAGCCATCACCATACCAGACTGTGAGCAGTTGCTGTCTTTATAAAACAGAGGGTCCTGGCCATTTAATAATTGAAAGGCAACATGCACAGCCACGGGAACAGCACCACAGGTGTCATAGATCTGATAACCAAGTCTGATACCTGGCAGCAATTCTGTGCTGTTATTTATCTCCTTTATTGCAAAAATCATTGTGCGGGAGAAGCGCAACTCCCTGGCATCAAAGCTGCAAAAGACAATTAGTTTTGATGTTTAACCAACATAAAAAATAAAATATTCTCTTATAACAAAATAACAAAAGGCATTTGAAGGTAGTAATTGTCATAGACTAAAAATGTATATGATTCTAATGCTCTAGAAGAGGGGTGTCAAACTGGTTCCAGAAAGGGCCGTGTGGCTGCAGGTTTTCTTGCCAACCATACAATAGCACACTTGACTCCATTCATCTCATCAAGGCATCACATTCAGATTGGACTCACTTGATGAGATGACTGGAGTCGGGTGTGCTATTGTATGGTTGGCAAGAAAACCTGCAGCCACACTGCCCTATCTGGAAAGACTTTGACACCCCTGCTCTAGAATATTCCCTCAAATTTGCACGAGTAAGACAACTTCAGAAAATAAAGCAAGAAATCAGTTTACAAAGTGAGTGCTGATTTCATATTACAAAAGACTAAAAGGCACAAGCAAAAATCTAAAAAGGATTTAAAAAAAAAACAATTATGCAAGCTGGAGCATTATCCATATTGGTAGTACCAAGTATGTAATTAACTTATGCATTTCTAAGGAAAAAAGTGTAGAAATGAGCTATAAAAAAAGGCAAATATTCAGGTCAGTTTCAATTAAATATCATATCATCACAATCCAATATTAAAACATAGGCTTTGTATATGGTAAATGCTCTTACCATTCTTCTCATTATGAAACATAAAAAAACTGTCCAATAACTAACCTTCCTATGCATCTTGGAAGCTCAGGCTCAGTAGTGTAGTTATGAAATAAAGTTTGCATTTTGTAGTGAATGAAGAAAGCACCTCCAATTACAAAATCTCCATCCATTGAGAATGCAGGCAAAAGAGGAGTACCCTGCAGGGTACATTGCACTGATGAGGATTTGACACTTCCACCAGTAGCAGACAGAGCGTTTGTATGGTGAATGATTTGCTTCATATTATCTAGAGTCCCACCCAAAATGAGAACAATGATTAGTTCAAAGAAACTCACAGCTAATCTCAGGCCAGTCTCCATTTGAGATGTGTATGGATTAGGAAGTAAGTGTGGCTTTTTAACAGCTATGATCTGTCAGGTGGTCACGAGTTAAAAATAACACACACCCACCCTGTTGTCTTTGATTATGTCTCAAAATGACGTAACACAAAATTTCCACTGCTTCACTATCTCTACTTTCATTACTAAACATTTACTTTCACTGCAATACACATATGCATTTATACAATATTACATATTAGTTTACCACAAACACTTGTCAATAATATTTTGAATATTTATAATATCATAAATAAATTAGTATCATACTGAATACAGAATCTCTGATGTTTAACCTCTCTGGCTCTAACCCCTGCCCACTAATTATTGAGCTGCTGGCAAAAAACAATCAATGTAGTAACCATCTAAAAAGAGAAAGTAATCTAATACAGGCAGGATTATTTTGACCATACAAACTCGAAGGTTGCACAGTTCAAGTAAAGAACAGAAGAATACCCATTTACAAGCAACATCAAAAGTATGTGGGAGAGGATTCAAACTATGGCCCTATAAAAGGACAGTTTAAGTTAGTGATGTTCAATGTCACCGATTTCCTTTCTGATCTAATATTTAGTAAAGATGGCATCAGTGATACTAATCTGACAAAGATACATTGTGTGGATATACAATATGTGATAGTTGAAGGTACAAATGGTTTAATGGTTTTATAATACTGACTATTTAATTAAGAATAACTTAAGCTTCGACAAACTTTATTGTCATCTTGTATACTTGTATACACAGAGTGTATACAAAACAATATTTCAATTCATACATCTTTTTAACAGTGAATCAGCAGCTTACAACAGTGAAATAAAACATTTCTGTCATAAACGGAGGCAGATCGAACCAGTACTCAAGGCGAGACAGACTGTGGGAAAGTTCAAAAGTTTTATTAACACAAAATATACCAATCAGAAGCGTGGAGCAGTAATTTTTTTATTACAGCGGCTGCAGGGGGGGGGCACCACCCAATCACTGACATCCTGGAGGTAGAAACACAGGTAAGTGACCACGATCATCTGATGGGAGATCATTATCCTTGTGAGTCAGTTACCTGGTTTAACAGTTCAGTCCATCTGTCATGATTTATCAGGATTTCTAGCCCAGGATGCAGAACTCACAGAACAGGCAGGCAGGATTCAAGTCCAATATTTATTGGTGACACACAGGGTTCTACCCTGGAAGGCAGAGAGGACAAACAGGTTACAGGTTACAGGCTCAAACTCACAGGTTTGCAGGTTCAAACAGGCAGAGTTCAACAGGCAGGATGGCTCTGGTTTGCTTCCATGGCAAGGACAGGACAATGACAACGGCAGGGCATGGCATGGCAGAGCATGGCATGGCATGGCAGAGCATGGCAACGATCCGGCTCAGAGAGAAGCTATTACTCAGCTTATATAGGGAGAGGTTAATCAGCAGAGCTGATGGGAATCAGCTGAGCGCAGAGAACCAGCTCCCAGGAGAGGATCCACAGCGCCCTCTGGTGGGCAAACCTCTGGATCCCAACAGAGACAGAAGCCCACAGGAAGGGATCCACACAGCCCTCTGGAGGGCAAGCCCTTGGATCCCAACAGTACCCCCCCTCAAGGGCGGATACCAGACGCCCAAAAACAAAAACAACCCACCCAGTGCGAGCGGAGGGGAAAACAGGCAAGGAGGGCCAGGCACAGAAACAAAACCAGGGTCCAGAACTCAAAACAACCCACCCAGGGTGGGCGAGGACAGGGAAAGACTCAGGTGGCCTGCCGTGGGACCGGCAGCAAGGCAGGGTTCCAGGTGGCCGGCCGCGGGGCCGGGGACAAGGCAGAGTCTCAGATGACCGGCCGTGGGGCCGGCAGCAGGGCAGAGTTTCAGGTGGCCTCAGAAGCTGCAGGGGCCTTGGAGGAAGACGCCAGCTCCGCTTCAGCAGGAAGCACCGAGGAAGACGCCGTCTCTGCTGCTGCAGGAAGCACCGAGGAAGACGCCGTCTCTGCCGCTGCAGGAAGCTCCGAGGACGACACCGTCTCTGCTGCTGCAGGGAGCTCCGAGGAGGACGGCGTCTCTGCTGCAGGAAGCTCCGAGGAGGACGCCGTTTCTGCAGCTCGGCAACTGACTCAGACAGGGTCACCCACTGTGGCACTGAATCAGGAACTGAGGAGGCCGTTGATTGCGGCTCCGCATCAGGAACACCGGAAGCCACCGACTGTAGCTTCCCACCAGGAGAAGAGGAAACCACCGATTGTGGCTCCACAGGGACAGAGGAGACCACCGATTGTGGCTCCACAGGAACACAGGAGGCTGCCGATTGCGGCTCCGGATCAGGAACAGATGAGGCCGACGATTGCGGCTCCACCCCAGGAGAACCGGAAGCCGGCGATCGCGGTTCCGAATCAGGAACTGAAGAGGCCGCCCATTGCGGCTTCGCATCAGGAGCAGAGGAAACCACCGATTGTGGCTCCACAGGGACACAGGAGGCTGCCGATTGCGGCTCCGGATCAGGAACAGAAGAGGCCGACGATTGCGGCTCCACCCCAGGAGAACCGGAAGCCGCCGATTGCGGTTCTGAATCAGGAACTGAAGAGGCCGCCCATTGCGGCTTCGCATCAGGAGCAGAGGAAACCACCGATTGTGGCTCCACAGGCACACAGGAGACCGCAGATTGCGGCTCCGAATCAGGAAGTGAAGAGGCCGCCGATTCAGGAGTCTCTGGATGACACAGAGCAGGCTCAGGGGTTTCCCAACAGCCCCAAATCTCCCGACATCTGCGATTCCACTCCTCATCATGTCGATGCCGCTTCATCTCCCACTCCTCTTCTTGTCGACGCCGCTCCATCTCCAACTCTCGATCCAACTCCCCAAAACGCCGGTGCAACCTCTCCCACCAGGATGATGGCGGAAGACTCAGAGAGGGTTTAGGGGTCTCCAGACAGCTCAGAGCGGGCTCAGGGGTCTCTAGGCGGCTCAGAGCGGACTCAGGAGCTAAGGAAGCCACTATCTCATCATAGTGTTGAAGCAGCGCCTCCCACCTGGGAGGCAGCGGACGGCGCTGTTCGGGCCTCACCAGGTGAGCGTGGAAGGAGTCTGCTGGGCTAGACTGTTGGGCGGATCGTTCTGTCATGATTTATCAGGATTTCTAGCCCAGGATGCAGAACTCACAGAACAGGCAGGCAGGATTCAAGTCCAATATTTATTGGTGACACACAGGGTTCTACCCTGGAAGGCAGAGAGGACAAACAGGTTAGGTTCAGGTTACAGGTTACAGGCTCAAACTCACAGGTTTGCAGGTTCAAACAGGCAGAGTTCAACAGGCAGGATGGCTCTGGTTTGCTTCCATGGCAAGGACAGGACAATGACAACGGCAGGGCATGGCATGGCAGAGCATGGCATGGCATGGCAGAGCATGGCAACGATCCGGCTCAGAGAGAAGCTATGACTCAGCTTATATAGGGAGAGGTTAATCAGCAGAGCTGATGGGAATCAGCTGAGCGCAGAGAACCAGCTCCCAGGAGAGGATCCACGGCGCCCTCTGGTGGGCAAACCTCTGGATCCCAAGAGACAGAAGCCCACAGGAAGGGATCCACATAGCCCTCTGGAGGGCAAGCCCTTGGATCCCAACACCATCCTCTCCGAGGAAGGCGGGATCCAGCCCAACCAGCAGTTCCGATCTGAAAAAAGGAACAGACAGGTCCAGGGTACCAGGAATACACAGAGCGTTAAGGCAGGTTCAGAGCTCCATGAGTCCAGCAGCAGCCTCAGACAGATATGCACAGATACAGACAGGCAAGCTCAGCAGTTGAGGGACAGAGATAAGAGTTGGTACCAGGAGAACTCCAGAACTTTAAACTGGACTAAGCTGGGAGTTTAATCTGATTGCTGGGGTGAGCCAAATATAAAGCAACAGACACAGGTGGATAAAATGAGTGATGATTAGGAACCAGGCAAAGTTAGGAAGGTAAATGAAGTGAACAGTTAAGGTCAGCTACCAGGGAAGATCATGAGGTTTTCATTTATAAAGTGGAGCAGTGATCAGAAAAAAATGGTGCAAAATGCAATAGAAACATTGAGTTGAGTTCTATTTAAAGGGATTTGAAAATAATATGTCAAATTGGTTATAAATACTTTGAACATCTACATCTGAAATATTAAACTTATAAGAAAATACACTGTTTGTGAATATTAGTATGTACTTGCTTTTCATAAACTGTTGTGTTTAAGCTATCTGTGATATTTTTTTCAAAGTCCCCCATAGCTATTTTATTTCAAGCACCAGGGCCGGCGATTGCTATAGGCGAGATAGGCAATTGCCAAGGCGACAAATGTGTTGGGGGCGCCCTCTAGCGTCGCCCTTAGGCTTACTTCCCATTAATCATAGAATTAGAAAAAAAAGCTAATTAAACCGGTTATGAAGCGTCCGTCAGTTTGACTTAACCTTACGTATATATAAATAGCAAAATATGAACAAATAAATATACCACCGTTTTTTTTTTTTTTTTTTTTTTTTTTCACATTTAAGAGAAAATCGGAAAAGATTCTGATCACTTTTCAAGCGCCCTCCAACCCGGAAGTCGTGAAGTCAGAACGGGAGCGTTCATGGCGATCTACTGCACTAAATGCGATAGCCAAAACGAGAAATCTGAAAGCAAAATTTCGACTTCAACCGAGCGATTCCTACCAGGAGACCATTCTGATGTATCGGAGGAAGAATATTTGTGTCTGGAGCCTCACATGTTCGACCCAGATGTTTCAGATGAAGAGAAGGCAGCGGACGAACAACAGCGAGTCGGACAATGAGTGGAGATTGGAAGTCAACAGGTGTTATGCCCAAAAGTGCATGCCTGCCGAAATATGCATCCCCGAAATATGCAAAAAAAAAAAAAAAAAAATATGCATCCCCAGTCGCGGGAGCGCGCCTCGCTCTGTTGAACTGCATATCGACGAGG